AAACAAAATTGAATATAACACAAAATAATGCCCCATAGAAACATAGTATGTTGAATTTTTTAAGCAAAAATGCAATGACCCACATTTTGGTAATCTGACAGTATCTTCAAAAAACAACAAGAAAGTATTGTGTGATGTCCCCATATGCGGTACCACTGCTGATCAGTGAAGGGAAAATTGCAGATTTGTAAAACATTATGAAATCTCAAAAACACATTTCCTGTACATTAAAATAAAAGCCGACATAAGCACTACATTCTCACAAAAAATGCTGTTGATACTGTGCAGTTATGCTGGTTTCAGTACTTGTAGAAAGACAATGGCAATATGGCACAGCATGCCATCACAGCCACGGGGACCGCTTGTGTTCATTGATACCATACCATAGCAGATTTTAATTCCATGGCCAGTAGCAGGTCATAGGCAGAGCAGCCAGCATGGGCTTGTGTAACAGCAACGTCGCACACCCACCGGAGTCGCTGCCAGTGCATCGTCGAAAGCCTTCCTCTCGATCAGTGAATGCTTCGTCTGCCGGGCCTACCAGCTCCTCTGGAGGCTCTCTTGGTGATGCTCACTTACCATAACCATATTACGAATAACGGGGTCCGGGCTTCGGGGCCTCTCCATCTCGATCCGTCATTAGAGACCTTCGTATCGGCTGGGTGCATGCTCCCAACGACCCTCTTGCCCGTACATCACGTTGGTGTAATGAGGATCAGTGGTGTGCGGTGAGCGCCCGGCACGGGGAGAGCGGTCCAGTCGTGAACCTGGATTTCCCGCTGTGGGGGCATGCATGTCAAGTAGCGGCTTCAAGACGGTCAGGAACTCATCCTGTTCATATCAGGTGCAAAAGGCGTCAGGACGGCGCTCCAATCGGCGGCGACGGGATTCTGAAGCAGCATAGCAATGTTCGCTCGGCGATAGTTGTACATACTTGTTTGGTACTGTCGTATCGCGCTTTCCATGTGAGGTAGAAGTGAGCAGGTCATGGTCGCTGCACTGGCTGGGCGCGTCATCCGTGTGTGAAATGTGGTTCAGATAGCCGGTGATTACCACGCCCAGCGATGACTCAGGCCCGCTGAGTGAATGGAACGTGTCTGCGAGCGCAGTTTGCGTAAATGGAAACGATAGCTCAGTATTGGACAGAGTGGACCCGACGTCATGCCTGCTGGTCCTCGTCTCGTGCAGCAGTTACAGGTGAAGTCAGCCATGATCAGCGCCGCACCACGATGGTTTTCGGCTTTGCGGCACGGTCTTACCGCGCGCTTGCTGTCAGTATATTCGCCGTAGCACGCAGGCGTACAGAATCCATAACCGATTTCTTAGGTCCGGAGGCCAGACGGTTGCCACGACAACTCAGAGCGACGCCGTGCCCCCGGGGTGGGCAGCCGGACTGTGGATCTACGTAGACAGCCTATGCCCGCGACCCTACCGTCGCGGGCGCTGGTTGGTGCGACGTCAATCCCGAGACTGGGCGGGCACTCCCCAGCTGCTGCCATTGTTTGCGTGGGCGCCAGTAAAAAAGCCTGCCGAAGTCAGGCCTGAACAGAGCATATCTCATCAACATTCGCACACACGTAAAACTGCGCTCGGCCGGGGTCTGCGACGGCCGCGCCCGGCCGAGGGGAGGGCAAGTTGGCTTCCGTGAGTTGACTTGAAAGATTCCGTTGCAAAGGTCTCGTCAAATCATGAAGAACGTGCACCAATTTTTTCTTGCGTCAGATATGTGGTCACCAGGGGTCACGATAGGAAAAACACGGTCGTTCTGATTGATGCAGTAAAAACGTGTGAACGCGTCAAGACGGGCATTGAGGGCACATAAGTAAGCGTTAAGGCTGTGGGGAGTCCATTCCGACCATTTTGTTCCCCTCAAGGATCAGTTCAGGTCAGACCACCGTGCAAAATTGGTTTACCAATAGCCTGCAAGAACGTTCTTTTGTTTTCTTTCACGATGCGCTTGCGACGAAGGTTTTTACACGCGCTCGTTCTTCTCGCCTCCGCTACCGACAATGGAGGTCGTTGACCCTGGATGGCCTCATATGACAGCGCATGTTTTTACGTGACCTATGGTGACCTCATTATACATTGGAATATCGAAACATGTTTTCAATGGAATATTAGAATTCTGCACCCAAAGTTACCACCTGAAACTGTCCGTCTTGAGCTCAGCATGCGTTTTGCTGAAGGCACCCATGGAGGCGCATCATGACCGAGGCCAATGTCATGTGTTTTATGGTCAAATGATGGTTTTGCATGTCAGTTAGTATTCTTTTTCCAATATACGAGCACCAAAACTTTACGAAAATCGTAAGAAATCGTGCAGATTTGTTTTTTACGAAAAAATAAAAACTTATCTTCCCTCAGGTCACTGACCTCGCTTGTTTTGAAGAATCTGAAGGAAACAGCTGTAGGTGCTGTCATGTTCCATTACTATAGCAAGTTTGAACAATTGCAAATGCCGCACAAAGAGTTATGCTTATTCAGCTTTTTAAGTTGATCTCTGTGACCTGACGGAGGTCACGCACCCTGGCAGTTCCAAACTTAAAAGTTGCAAAGGACGCCAAATTGGTAGATGATGCGGTGTTAAAAATCAGGCGTTTCTGCGAGCGTTCATTTTTTAAGGTGTGCTCCAAAAGTCGTAAAGGGAAAAGTCAGATTGCCCGTCGTCGGGACGCGGGTTAACGAAATGCGCCACCGAAGTTTTTGCAGCGGATGAAGGTGTCCCTTTGAACATGATGTTGGTGTGCACGACTGTTGTCTCTATGGCATTTGTGCTAGTGATAAGACCTCACTCGCTGCGGTTGGGCATCTCATGTTTGTGCTATGCACATGCTTACCACGGGCGTAATTGGCGCCCCAGAGCCTACGATCGAGCTAAAACCGCATAGTGATACGAGTCTGTGGCATCGTAAAAATGATGCCCTTGGCATGAAAAAAGATACAAAGATCAATGTGAAGGACACTGCATCTCGCCTGCCATTTTATTTTAGAGCGTCTCCGCAGGCCCAACCCTTTAAATTGTTATGAACACATGGGTGCGCCGCCAAACCCGGCACCGCTGCGCCGATGTCCAGACCTCTGCTAATTTTAAGGTATCGTCCGTTGAGATACTGCACGCCATCTACAATAACAAAACTCGTGTTATCGTGCCGACTACCCACGTCCTTTCACAGTTCATGTAAAGCACGTTTTTTTCAAATTCGTGTTTCTGACACCCCCTCCTCCGACCAACTTGATCTCTTCGCGTCTGTTCAGACGTGTGGCGATGGCCGGGTTCCAGGCCCTTCGCGTCTGTCCAGACGTGTGGCGATGGCCGGGTTCTAGGCCCTTCGCGTCTGTCCAGACGTGTGGCGATGGCCGGGTTCTAGGCCCTTCGCGTCTGTCCAGACATGTGGCGATGGCCGGGTTCCAGGCCCTTCGCGTCTGTTCAGACGTGTGGCGATGGCCGGGTTCCTGGCCCTTCGCGTCTGTCCAGACGTGTGGCGATGGCCGGGTCCCAGGCCCTTCGCGTCTGTCCAGACGTGTGCATGGCCGGGTTACTAGGCCTTCGCGTCTGTCAGACGTGTGGGAATGGCCGGGTTCTAGGCCTTCGCGGTCTGTCCAGACATGTGGCGATGGCCGGTTTCCGGCCCTTTCGCGTCTGTTCAGACGTGTGTGCGCATGGCCGGGTTTCTGGCCCTTCGCGGCTGTCCAGACGTGTGGCGATGGCCGTGTTCCAGGCCCTTCGCGTCTGTTCAGACGTGTGGCGATGGCCGGGTTCCAGGCCCTTCGCGTCTGTCCAGACGTGTGGCGATGGCCGGGTTCCAGGCCCTTCGCGTCTGTTCAGACGTGTGGCGATGGCCGGGTTCCTGGCCCTTCGCGTCTGTCCAGACGTGTGGCGATGGCCGGGTTCCAGGCCCTTCGCGTCTGTCCAGACGTGTGGCGATGGCCGGGTTCCAGGCCCTTCGCGTCTGTCCAGACGTGTGGCGATGGCCGGGTTCCAGGCCCTTCGCGTCTGTTCAGACGTGTGGCGATGGCCGGGTTCCAGCCCCTTCGCGTCTGTTCAGACGTGTGGCGATGGCCGGGTTCCTGGCCCTTCGCGTCTGTCCAGACGTGTGGCGATGGCCGGGTTCCAGGCCCTTCGCGTCTGTCCAGACGTGTGGCGATGGCCGGGTTCCAGGCCCTTCGCGTCTGTTCAGACGTGTGGCGATGGCCGGGTTCCAGGCCCTTCGCGTCTGCGGTTGCGCTCATGCGGCGTCCTATACGGCTATAGCGACGAAGCCAGGGCGAGCTCGTTTTCTCTCATGTCGTCCGCCGACGACACTATTTGGAGTCATGGCGTGGTAAAGCATCAAAGAAAACCCTGCACAAATCCGACGCGCCGAAAGTTACGGCGGATTTGGACCAGGCGCCCGGTCTGCCACGTTCCTCACGCGCCAAGTGTTGCATGACTGGCAAGAACTGGTGGCCGTTTTTAAGGGCTAGGAATGTAACGAATGACGGGCAATCATCGATATGTTCATTGGACCATCCGAAGTCGAATGCAACCCGGCTTATGTCCCATTTCCCAATCCTCAACGAGGTATCCGCAGACAGACTGTCGCCGCGTGGGGCCGGCAGGTACCGCTCCGACGCTTGGCGCGTTTCCCAACAACGCCAGTTTGGTCATCCCAGCGCAGCTTTCTCCTCTCCGACCAATATCTTCCAGCGTATCGGACTTCCGGCTGTAGCAGCCGGCGGCGCGCTGATTCATGCGCAGTAGACTGCTTGCCTGTCGTAGCTCTCACTTAATCGTCATTGGCGAAAGCATTCGCCGACAAATTTCGCAACAGTGTAGTCTAGCAACCATATGCGGCTCACTGTATCAGCACGAGCACGCCAGTGCTGGCGGCAATTGACGTCAATGGTCCCTTTCAGTCCATACCCGCCTTTGAATGGCGCGACGGGGGGTACTCGGCCCCAGATAGCACCCAGCCGGTTACCGGTGCGCGCGGCGCTATTGCACACATGACATGTGACGCAGCTTGTATTAACTCTAGCAATAAATTACAGTAAAACAATACAATAAGTACAAGTAATACTACGTACACATAAAATCACTTCGCTAGCCATATTACGTAGAAAAGCACCATCAGAAGCAGCGATTAGTATAAAATGTGTAAAGCGTGGAGCCCCCCCCGGTGCGGGTGCCCCGGTCGGGGGCTCCAGCCCTGGGGGCTCGCTGGCGCGCCGCCTTCCCCACGCAAGACTCGACTAGAACGGCGCGGCCGATTCGGGCGCGGCCCGCCAGGCGGCAGCAGCGGCGGCAGGGCGCAAGGCGGACGGGGCGGCAGCGGCTCGCGGCCGGCCAGCGCCGCGCCGTGATATGGGGGCAAGGCACGACAGAGTGGGGGAGGCGGCGGCGGCACGGCGGCGGGAGGCGCGCGCCACGCGCCGCCGCCGCCGGGACGAGGTCAGGAATAGGCCGGGCAGGGCGCGGCCCCGCCCGCGAGACGGTCACAGCGCCAAACAAGCCACGTCTAGAAGAGGTCGGCCTCCTTCTTCAGGTCTTTCTTTCTCCACGCCGGTAGTTCGTTGAACTTGTCCCGCGGCATCTTCAGCACCTCCTGGCGGCGGTGGGGAGAGCACATTGTAAAAGGGGGCACGTCAGCGGCACCACGCGGCAGACCCATTATTCTGAGATATCCAGCTGGGTCGCATTCGCACTAGTCCGGACGCGTTATGAACTGTGCAAAAATAACGAAAGAATCGTCTGATGCGGAAATATGTTGCCCTCGCCCCCACCAAACGTCAATGGGTCATGCTCACGTGAAGCGGCTATACTCGCACCAATCTTTATTTCTTCCCCGAGCTGCCATACATTTTGCGTTCAACCAGACTCAGTTCAATAAACCATCGCAAAACTTTGGCTATCTACGGGCTGCTGTTGCAAATGGTTCACTACGATTCAGTGAAGAACTTAAGATATGAACTGCACCGGTCCAGCCAGGATCGATTACATAAACCTTGTAAACCCAATATTCCAACAAACACGCACCAAACCTCTCCTCTTCACTTCCTCCTGATCGAGGAAGACAGAGAACTAGGATGGTCTGCTCTTGGGCAAGCAGCCACCCTGAGGAGCCAAGACGAGCGCGTCCAACTCCAGACAGCCGTGACCCCGGCCCTCCTGCCCCTCCCGCCGTGAGCGGGCCTCACCGCGAACTCTGCGTCGCTGAGGTACGCCTCGAGACGGACGGGGTCGACGCCGTCCGGCAGCGGGCGCTCGCGCAGCACCGCCAGCGGGTACACGGACCGGGTCAGCTCCTTGAGCACGTCCGCCGCCGGCCGCTCGAAGCCCGCGCTGTAGTCCAACTGCGGCCACGGGGAGGGTGGGTCACAACACAGCGCTGTAGTCCAGCTGCGGCGACGGGGAGGGTGGGTCACAGAAGGCGCACATGGACGACTACACACATCACATTGCTGGGAGTACCATCACCGGCCTCTACACCACCGCCCCATCCGACCCTCGCACACGCCGCCCAGCCAGCCCCGTTCTCCGGCACGTGTCCGCTCCACCGGCGCACCTCCGTGTTGAGCCGCGCCGCCTCCGGGTGCAGCTGCCAGACCGGGAACATGTGCTGGAAGGCCGTCGGCTCCAGTCCAGCCACCACCAGGCGGCAGGGCAGGCGGCCGCGTAGCCGGCTATACTCCACCGCCGTCTGAAGCGCGCACCGCCGCTCCTCGTGCCATCTGCCGGCCACGGAAGGAGGTTAGTCGTCGCGACGGCGTCGGTCGCAACGCGCGATATGCGCGACGCTCGTCCTGTCCTCTACCGGTGCTCGACCGAAACAGAAGTTACGCTGGCGATCACCTCGGCCGAACGTAGTTAGCCTACTCTGATGGCAATGTACTCTGCCTCACAGTTGGATGCTTCGGAAGGTAGATTATACATATCGCAATAAAGTGAGCAATGACATTTTTGTACACCACGAATAACCATCGTAACCAGTTGTGACACACCAAGGGGGAGATCACAATGAAAGATCACAGACAGCAACAAATGCTCACATCCTTGCTGTGACAGCGAGAAGTGCGCGGCCATCACACCAGTGCCCCGCGTCCACGTGAGCACAGCTCCGCCAGCACTGACCTGAAGGTGGCGGCGCCGGCGAGCGCGGCCGCCTGGCCGGCGTCCGGGTCCGCCGGCGGCCGCCAGCCCTGCCACACGTACACGACGTGTCCGGCGTCCAGCAGCAGCAGCGCCGGCTGCTGGCGCTCGTACAGCTCGCGCTGCGTGTACGGCAGTGCGCAGGGCCGCTCGCTCGAGCAGTGCAGACACGGCACCGCCGCCCAGTGGAAGCGGCCCGAGCCGCACGAGAAGTGGAAGAGGCGCGGCGTGGCGGGCGTGGCGGCGCGCGGCGGAGCCGGCAGCGAGCCGCCCTCACCGCCCAGCGCTGCGGCGGACACGGACGGCCGGTGAGGCGGTGCCGCGCCACGCGGAGAAGATCGGGGGGGGGGGGGGGGCTGGGAAGGTGAGCGACGGTAGCGACACTGTACAGAGACGGGAAGTAGAGACGACTGCAAACGCTGTGGTCCCTTTACAAAACGGAAGCCGCTGCCCGCTAAGTGAAATCAGTACAATCTTTCCCATGCCGCCCAATGTTGGGCTCCCAGGAACACAAATCCCGCCCTCCGGAAAAGCACGGATCCTCGACTTCACACGGCAGCCGCAATGCCACCGTATTTCCAGTGAAGTCACGACAGATACAACACTACATCCCCCGGAGCCATCCTGACGCATCGTCACGCTGGAAGCGCGCCCGACTGCCTCGGTGCATGACGCCAGGTGAGCCCGAGCCCGACGCCCCACCACAGCCACCGCCACAGCCGTCACAGCCGCCTCAGCCGCCCTCACAGCTGCCGTCATAGCCGCCCTCACCTTCCCAGAACTCGGCCGGCTCGCTGTCCTGCTTGACCTCCGTCAGCGCCAGCTCCGCGCCCTCGGCACCGCCCAGCGCCAGCTCCGGCGGCGGCCGCTCCAGCGCGCGCGCCGCCTGCAGCGCCACCTCGCGGCCGTGCGGCGGCAGCGCGGCGCCGAGCCAGAGGAAGGCGCGCCCGGCGGCGGCGCCGACCAGCAGCAGAGCGGCGCGCGAGCGGAGGCTGGCGGCGGCGCGCGGCACCTCCAGCAGCCAGGCCTCGGTCGCCAGCTCGCCGCGCACCACGAACAGCCGCCAGCCGGCCGCCGCGGCGGCGTCCTCCTCCTCCTCCTCCTCCTCCTCGCGCTTGCCGAGGTGCACGGCCAGCCGGCCGGCGAACAGCTGCAGGAAGGCGGCCGGCTCGCGGCCCTGGGTCACGCGCACCTGGAGGGACGGGAGGGGGAGGGGGTCAGACGGAGGCCGGCCGAGGAGTGCTGTGGCGTGCTGCGCCGCTGTTCGTGCATAAAACAGCTCTCCGCCTACCGGGGCCGCAGAGTCCCTCGCACAACGCGGCGCACGCGTCGGCCAACGAGCAATGAGCAAACGGCCCACATCTGACATCTAGCGGCCAGAATACCATTCATACATCCGGCGTTAATCCATCGCGGGATTACCACGGGGGACGCAGCAGCGCGTTATGGAGGGAGGGGGGGGGGGGGGAGGGGGCAGAGCAGGACCATCCGGCGTTTGGGCGGATCACATACGTGACAATTGCAAGAGTGGCGAGTCGCGGGCCGGTCTGTGGGCGGGGCGCCACAATGCCGGCCAACATGTGAGACCTGCTCGGCAACGCGGCGGGCTACCCTGGTCCCGTCACTACCTGTGGTCCCTGCTCCTGGTCATGTCCTCTTCTGCGATCCCTGCTCCTGGTCCGGTCCTCTTCTACGATTCCCGCTCCTGGCCCAGTTCTCACCTGTGGTCCCCGCTCCTGGTCCGGCCCTCTTCTGTAATCCCCGTTCCTGGCCCAGTTCTCACCTGTGGTTCCCGCTCCTGGTCCGGCCCTCTTCTGTAATCCCCGCTCCTGGCCCAGTTCTCACCTGTGGTCCCCGCTCCTGGTCCGGTCCCCTTCTGTGATCTCGCTCTTGGCCCAGTTCTTACCTGTGGTCCCCGCTCCCGGTCCGGTCCTCATTTGTGGTCCCAGCTCCTGGTCCCGTCACTACCTGTGGTCCCAGCTCCTGGTCCGGTCCTCATTTGTGGCCCCCGCTCCTGATCCCGTCCTCACCTGAGATCCCCGCTCCCGGTTCAGTCCTCACCTGTGGTCCCCGCTCCTGGTCCAGTTCGATGACCATGAGCGCCGACGCGCCCTTCTCGTTGACGGTGCTGCTGGCGCCCTGCCAGAAGAAGTAGGCGCACCGCTGGCGGCCCACGCTCAGGTGCTTGCTGGCGCCGCCGCCCAGCCGGCGGCCCGTCTGCGTCACCTGGTACACCTGGCGCCGCAGAAGCAGCGTCACCACGCGGCAACTTGGGATCATGTCTGCGATGCCACGTGTCCCGGAGCCAATAGCCAGAGCCAGAGCGGTTGGCAATATGCTCGGGGATGTGCTCGCCGTACGAAAATGAAGGTAAGTTTTCCGACTGAACTTGTCGTACATTACCGATTCAGAGTTGGTTCTAACTGCCTGGCCTTGTGGCCACAGTCCAGACAACGGCGCTAATTATGCTCTCAAGCTGGCGACCTCCTGACAATAGGTATACCCTAACGGAAAACCTCCGTGCCTTCCACGGTGATTGTCCACCACAATCGGTGTCCTTTCAGCTCCACAGACAGCGCTCGCCAGAAATTTCTGCTCGCGAGACAGCATCGGCAAAGCCTGCTGTCCACAAGTGTCTCCACATCGCGCTCGGGCCCGGCCGGCGGCGGCCGACTCACCCACTGCACCACGTATGTATCGCCCTGGTGCAGCTGCCCGGCGGAGGCGGCCTCCAGCTGGGTGGCCGCCGCCTCGTTCACGTGCCACGTCTTGACGCTGACGGTGGAGATCTCCAGCTGGCGGCGCTCCTGGGCGGCGTCACAGCGGCGTCACAGCGCGGCACAGCGGCGGCACAGAGACGGGGCACAGCACGGCGGCGGCGTCACAGCGCGGCACGGAGACGGGGCACGGCACAGCGGCGGAGTCACAGCACGGCACAGAGACGGGGCGCAGCACAGCGGCGGCGTCACAGCGCCGCACAGAGACGGGGGCACAGCGCGGTCCCATTGCGGGCCGGGTCACAGCGGCGGCGTCACAGCACAGCACAGCGATGGGGGCACAACGCGGTCCCATTACGGGCCGGGTCACAGCGGCGGCGTCACAGCGCGGCACAGAGACGAGGCACAGCACAGCGGCGGCGTCACAGCGCGGCACAGAGACGGGGCACAGCACAGCGGCGTCGTCACAGCACGGCACAGCGACGGGGGCACAGCGAGCTCCCATTGCGGGCCGGGTCACAACGGCGGCGTCACAGCGCGGCACAGCGACGGGGGCACAGCGCGCTCCCATTGCGGGCCGGGTCACAGCGGCGGCGTCACAGCGCGGCACAGAGACGAGGCACAGCACAGCGGCGGCGTCACAGCGCGGCACAGAGACGGGGCACAGCACAGCGGCGTCGTCACAGCACGGCACAGCGACGGGGGCACAGCGAGCTCCCATTGCGGGCCGGGTCACAACGGCGGCGTCACAGCGCGGCACAGCGACGGGGGCACAGCGCGCTCCCATTGCGGGCCGGGTCACTGCGGCGGCGTCACAGCACAGCAAAGCGACGGGGGCACAACGCGGTCCCATTGCGGGCCGGGTCACAGCGGCGGCCCGGCAAACTGGCGGGAAAACAGCACGTCTGCTAGTCATGCCGGCGCCACGGCCCGACCCGGTCGACGACACGCCTCCTGCAGGACCGCGCAGTACGTCGGCGAGGGAGGGGAGGGGAAGGGCAGGACACCAGGACCGGGGGCCAGCAACGTCACGAGACGACGGCCGGATGGAGCGCGGTGGCGGAAGCGGCTGGGCCACACGGTCGAGTCCCACGCAGTCGACCACCGTGAAATGAGTCGGCACGAGGAGAGGGCCTCAGGCGACCTTCCCGGACATGACTAATAACTGAAGATATGCTTTCGACCATGCTTATATCGACAATGAGGGATGACATGCAAACATTCCTAAACAATCGCTGCTTCTCTCACGCACCTTTACGAAGAAATATCCTCCCATCGTTCTCCACAACAATTCCACTCACTCCCACAGCCACACCAACACGCACAGCACCTAACGCGACCAAGACCATCGCACCCTTCCGACTCCCACACGCCGTCGCCCCGCTGCCGCTGCCGCTGCCGCGCGCACGCTCACCTCCTCGTCGGAGAAATGTGTGCCGCGGCCGAGGTGCTCCATCTCGAGCACGAGGTCTGGCTCCGGGTGATGGGTGGCCACCATGGCTGCGGCGTCGCACGGCGCCAGCTCCAGCGGCGGCGCCAGCTCCGTCTCCGGGTCACTGTCCGGCTTCACCTGACGGCGCAGGGAGCGGTCAGAGGGGGGGGGGGGGGGGGGGGGTACTGGCGGGTTAGCGCAGGGCAGGGCTCTGATGGGGACGCTTTGGCCCTTAGAGGCCACTTCCAGGTAGGCCATCACGGCTGTTCCTCAGCGGAGGGTGGGGACCACCGGGGGCCTCAGGGGAGGGTGCGAGCCCGGAGAGCCTCGGGGGAGGTAAGGGGGCGACAGAGCCTCGGGGTAGGGGGCCGAGAGCCTCAGGGGGGGGGGGGGGGGGTAGGGGCGACAGAGCCTCAGGAGAGGGGTCTCTCAGGTCTCAGGGAGACCCGGGAAAGCCTCGAGGGTGGGTGGGGGTCGCGCCAATGGCAGTAGTCAAAGACGGGACAAACGGTGGATCTCCCGGCGCGCGGTCTGACCAGCCACACAACCATAACGGAAAAGCGCGGACCACGACAGCGAAACGACCTCATCTGCAACATGTGCCACGACATATCCTTAAATGAGAAGAGGCAATAACGAGACAACGGTGACCAGCCGCAACGCGACCGAAGCCGATACGGTCTGGGAGTGGGCGTCCGTCTCACTCGCCGCGCTCTTTCCCGCACCACCAGCCGCCGCCCACCTTGATCATCCTCGAGGGGTCGTTCCAGTCGAGGAACTTCTCGCGGAACAGGATCGTCTCCATGTTCTGACCGACGCGGCCCAGGATGCCCCAGTCGGGGCGCGGCCCCTGCGCCGGCGCGCCATCTATGGGCGGGTGCTCGCAGTCGGAGTAGTCGTAGCCGGCGTCCCAGAGTTCGCGCGTCAGCCGCTTGCCGGCGTCGCGCAGGGGCTTGCCGGCCAGCCGGCCCGTCCACAAGTACAGCTCGGCGCCGAAGTCGAACACAAACACCTGCCGGTCGGGTGACAGGCGTGCCGTGTGACGCACGACGGCGGGCGGGAGGGTCCGGGGTGCACGCTCGCTGCTCCGGTGGGTTGCTCGCAGTACATAATCACTGTAGGAGAGACGCTTAGAGGAAGGAAAAACTGCCGCGTACACTGACGGGTGAGTGAGCCATCTCACAGGAAACGTCATAGCACTAATGAAATCCAAACCCAAAACCTAAGGATCGAATGCGCTGAGGAATGCAAACCCACGACCAGCTAAAGCAAAGGCATTGGCAGCACGTAAAACACGTGCCAGAAAGACAGCTAGGGGTCACTTTTGGGAGGGAAGCGTTAAAACTAACCTCCGTAACACTCGAAACACTCGGCTCATTCGCTCGCCACGTGCCGTAACCGCGTACCTTGTCGTCCTGCAGCATGTCACACTTGGGGATCTGACCCCAGGCGTCCGGTACGGGCACGAGCTCCTCGTCCGCCGTCACCTGATACACCTTGTTGGTGGCCGCCACGGCCGCCTCGTACAGCTCGTCCTCGTCCGGGGAGCCGGCCTCTGCCACAACAGGTTATGTCACGTCAGGTCAGGTCAGGTCAGGTCAGCAGTGAGCAGAGCAGCACACATCATGATTTGGGCTTTAAGGCGCGCGGACTATCCCGGTCATATGGCGCCCATAGCAGCACACAGGCAGAGGTGGAACATGGGCTTTCTAGGGCAGCGTGGTACAAGACAGGGTGTGACCACGTCATGCGACTCAGTGCTCAGTGTTGCCTGCGTCAAGGAGCTTCTTAATTTGGCCCACGTACATGACGTCAAGAGAGCGTCGCAAAACTGAGGCCTCAAGGCCGCAGTAAGAACACACAAGCGCCAATGTCATCGATTATTCATTGCAATACAAACAATTTGTTGATATGATAGCGCCGACTTCCCGTTCACTTCACATCGTATTTGCCAGCAACTGTTCCCGCATTCACCTGTTTCACTCCACTCCATTCTCGACAACATCCCCTACCCTCCCCTCACAGCTCCAACCCCACCCGGCGCCTCCCCCTCCTCCCCCCCCCCCCCCGGCGCCACGCCCGCCTTACTGGGTACGTCGGCCCTGCCGCCGAGCAGCTCGAAGAACTTGGTCTCTTCGCGACGGCTGCCCTTGACGCCGCCGCCGTTCTCGTGGTACTCGATGGCGGCCGCCTTGTTCGCGCTACAGCCGAGGTCGTGCGTACGCGCCACGTGCAGCGCCACGTCCGCCGCCTTCGACTGCTCGATCACGTTGCTGAGATAGCCGCACCACTGGAACACCTGGCGGAGCGGGCGGCGTCGGTGCCGGGCTGGCCGGGCGGCCGCACCGCCTGAGGCGGCTGGTGCGCCTCTTCACGCGGCTCTACAGCACCGGGGTCGCCCCGTGGCTCATCACCGCCGCGCGCTCGAACCGGCGAAAACGACGCCTTTATATCGCTCTTGAGCAGCAACAGGACATAACCCGTAAAGATGAGGGCCAGGTGTGAGTGAATGGTGTGACGCACAGGTGTGACGCACAGAGTGAATACACTGTTTTTCAGCTCCCAGGCGCCCAACTCTCACCGTCCTAGCCTCCCTCCCACCCCTCCCATCCCATCCCATCCCATCCCATCCCATCCCATGCCACCCCACCCCACCCCACCCCACCCCACCCCACCCCACCCCACCCCACCCCACCCCACCCCCACCACCAACCCCACCACCAACCCCACCCCCACCCCCAACCCCAACCCCAACCCCAACCCTTACCCCCACCCCGACCCACACGGACCGTCCACGTACCTGGTCGGGCGTGACCAACAGGAAGCAGTCCCCAGTGTTGAGCGCCTGGACACATGGCCGCACCAGCCGGGTCTGCACGTGCCGGCGGCCCTTGACGCGCAGCAGCATGGGCTCGCGTCGGTAGGGCAGCATGCTGTCCGGCACGGCGCGCCGACCCAGCTTGATGGCGCTGAAGTCGAGCTTGGTCGCCAGGCCGGCCAGCGACTCCTGGGCGAACGTCGACTTGCGAGACACTGAAACAGCGGCCGCGGATCAGCGGCGGCCGGCCGCGGCCGTGAAGCGGAGCACATGGGGGGGGGGGGGGGGGCAGGGCCTCGAGACGTGGGAGCCACGGGCGGATCGTTTTGAAGCCTTGAGAGACAGGGGAATATAATGGGAAGATCAGGAGTAGTTTGGCGTGGCTGTTATGGGTGACGGGCGACGTCTGGGGGCAGAGTGGGACACTGACAGTGACAGCGAGGGGATGGTTCTGATTTCGGGTGCCAGTGGCGGCGCCTTACGACTTGCTTCACACGCGGCTGGGACTTCAGGTGGTGTTTCTGGGACGGGTAATAAATGACAGAGGTCTGGGCAGAGGCCGCAAGGTCAGGCCGGCGTCAGCGACAGCAGGGGTCGGTAAGATGCTCAGCTATTAGGCAACGAGACCATGGAACCGGGCGGCGCACACACAGATAACAGACGACGGACAGAGTAAAAGAAACTGAGAGAAACTTCTGCAGCAGTGAGACATGACAACAAACCACGGCGAAACTGAACCGAAGGCGCGGTAAATAGTCGAGCAGACTATAAGCGGTCGCTGTGCCGAACACAGGACGACAGCGGCTGTGACGCAGCTCTTGACAAGCAGCGGTGGGGCCGCAGCGAGGTCGCCACCAGCTGGTCTGTGGCAAGGCTCAGCTGCATACACGGGGGTACGCACTGTGTCAGGGACCGCACTGAGCTGCCGACTGAAGGTGCGACAGGGGCCGGCCGTGTCAGCGGCGGACAGACCGGTGGGGCTGATCATCAGCACGGTGGTACGCATGACATGCAGGAGCGGGGCCCGACCGAGCAGTTCAACAAAAGCAAAGCCGAACACCGAAGCCAGACATGAAACCCAAGCAAAGCCAGCAGAAGTATGGCGCGTCGACATAGGCGATGTTCAAAACATCATGAGCGATAGGATGAGGTGTAATAAAGCCCTGGGCAATACAGCAGGACACATAACACCAGAGCAGCGCGGGACCTCCCCTTGGGACAATCTCAATGGCACAATCCTTCGCGAGCGCTCTAACAAAAGCCCGCTCCGAAAATCTAAAGCTAGGTTTCGCTTCGCTTCGCTCGAGTGGTACGATCAATGTTGTCGAGGCAGCGGCCTCCGACTGCGTCCGCATGGTCCAGCCCCGTGACACAGAGGCACGGTCCAGCTGCGTAACACAGATACACGGTCCAGCTGCGTAACACAGAGACACGGTCCAGCTGCGTAACACAGATACACGGTCCAGCTGCGTGACACAGACACACGGTCCAGCTCCGTGACACAGATACACGGTCCAGCTCCGTGACAAAAAGACACAGTCCAGCTCCGTGACACAAAGACACAGTCCAGCTCCGTGACACAGATACACGGTCCAGCTCGGTGACACAGACATGGTCCAGCTGCGTGACACACAAGACACGGTCCAGTTCGGTGACACAGAGACACGATCCAGTTCGGTGACACAGAGACACGGTCCAGCTCCGTGACACACTCCGTGACACATAAGACACGGTCCAGCTGCGTGACACAGAGACACGGTCCAGCTCCATGATTCAGAGACACAGCCCAGCTGCGTGACGCAGAGCCTGGAATGCTCGCCGGCGAACACGAGTCCGCGGAGCTCATTCCCAGTAAGGCTGAGCCAAGCCGCTGGTCATAGGCCACGGTGATCCACAGGGGTGGCGACCATAGATTACTAGAAACAACGTGTTTGCAGTGACTGTCAGGGTGCCACCACACTTCCACCGCAGCTCAGTTCGGCACCAGCGCCACAGCTCAGTTCGGCACCAGCACCACAGCTCGGTTCGGCACCAGTGTCACAGCTCGATTCGGCACCAGCTCCACAGCTCCGTTCAGCGCCAGCAGCAAACAATACGCCGGTGCCACAGCATGGAAACTAACCTGAGCCCCATGCGATGCCCCCGCGTAAGCGCAGCACCACCTCCACCAGGCCCCTCCACCTGCTCTCCACAGTGGAGGCCTGCACACCGGGCGGTCACTTACGCTCCTCCTTCTTCGCCATCTTGATCATGTGCTCTCCAACGCCCAGCCGGACCTCCTCGTACTGCGTCAGCAGGTCGGCGCGCGCGCTCAGCGCACGCACCGGATTACGCGAGGAGCGCGCGCGCCGGCGCACGCGCACGCGCGCCGCGCCGGCGGGCAGCTCGGCGCCGCGCGCCACCGCGTCCAGGTCCCAGTCGAGCGCCGACCAGTCGGCGGCCGGCTCGTCCCCGGCCGCCGGCGCCGAGCCGAAGAACGAGTCGAAGCTGGCGTCGGCCAGCTCCGGCACCGTGACGAGGACGGAGGCCGGCCGCGCTGCCGGCGGCGCGGGGTCAGACGGCGCCGCGGCGGCACGCCGACAGAGGGCAGGCGTGTACGTGCGGCGGGGAGGGGTGTTACGATGAACGCGCCCCTGAGGGGGGGGGGGGGGTCCACCACGACCGGGAAGACTAGTCAAACTCGTGTGGGAGCCTGCTAGTCTCAGACGAGGCTGTGCAACACTGACAGCTAACGCACATAGGAGCAAGACACAACGTGTGAAACTACCGCGTGTAATCGACACAACCCACTGTCCTACTGTGGCCGCCTCTCTCTACACGCCACGCACCGTAACACAGCACAACACGTCTGGCACCCTACGCCTAACTAGGGATGTCCTCACGGGGCGCAGCCCTCCCGCAGCCCCGCTCACCCGTGTCCTCGCTGGGATCCGAGTTCTGGCGCTGAGTGATGAGGCTCGACCGCACCTTGGTCGTCGATGACTCGACGTACATGCTCTGCGCCTCTCGGCGGGTACCTGGCGGCGTCCAGACACGGCCCGTCAGCGACGGACGGCCAGCCAGACGGCGGCCGGTCAGACGGCAGCGCAGCCGGACAGCCAGACGGCGGCCGGTCAGACGGCAGCGCAGCCGGACAGCCAGACGGCGGCCGGTCAGACGGCAGCGCAGCCGGACAGCCAGACGGCGGCCGGTCAGACGGCAGCGCAGCCGGACAGTCGACGGTCAGATGGTCGCAAGTCGGATACCCTGGCAGCCTGACGGTCTGACAGACCGGTAGTCTGGGTCGGACAGCTGGTCAGTCTGACCGTCTGAGTCTGAGTCTGACAGTCTGGGTCTGACAGTCTGAGAGCCTGGCAGTCTGGGTCGGACAACTGGTTAGTCTGACAGCCAGAAAGCACGCTGCGGCAGCCGGACGACCCGCCGCGGCAGCCACAGTGACCCGCGCCCGGCGCCAGCGGCAGCCCGTCCGCCGCGCCGCACCGGCCGCCGACAACGGCGACACAGCCGTGACAGGCGGCGCGCGCACAGGTACGCCACCCACAGAGCCATTGTGGGGTCGCGGCCGGGGGCTCGGCTCGCCCAGCTGGAGGCAGCCGGGTGTTGCTCGACGGCGGCCCGCGATATTAATCCCGTGTGTGGCGTCGCCAGGCGCCTGCGGTACATCAGCCGGTGTGCGCGCTTTGACGGCGTTTGCGACGCGGCCGGGGCGCAGCGAGTCGTTTTAATGAGGTGTGGCTCGGAGATCGAACTGGCGGCGACGGAGGTGGAGACGGCGACCCGGCCGGACTAACCACGGTAGACGGGCAGGGTCGCCCCAGGGACCCGGCCCAACCCTGGACAGTGGCAATATACCAGACCGCAGCCCACCCGCGCCAGCTGATTTTGGCCTGATGTGGCCACGGAATCACATACGCTGTAGGCTGCCGACATTATTAACATTATGTTTGTAGTCCGTGGAGCGCCAAAAGGAACTGACTGAAGCGGAGACACACCGTGTGCCGTGGGTATGTCAACAACTAGATGCTTCCGTATGGGGCAACATGCCAAGTAGTCGCTTTCACTTGTAAGCTTCGAATCGGTCTCGATATAGTATTCCGATATCATTCACGAGCACTTCTAGAAAAGTGCATATTTTTTTACTCCTCAGCTTATCACGAGGTGGTTACTTTCATATGTCAGCACAAATGTAGTCCATTCAGAGAACTTCCCGCGCCTTTCCACAGGCAGCCGTTAGGTGGATTACCACACAATTACTACGTTCGGCAGCAGGACGCCACCACCAAGACACGATGCGTGAATGCGAACAGGAACAGACCGGAGGCCTGTAAACACCGCTGGCCTGACCCGCCCCCGCACGGCGCCGCTTCGGAACGACAACACCTTCGCCGCAGCGGTACGGCTTCGGCAATAAGTGGCACAGACCCCCCGCCAGCCCGGTGTCCGGGTCTCGCTCTAGGGCTTCGTCCCGTCCACCGGGCCGGACCGATGTCAGTAAGAGTTGGACATGCAGTGCAGTGCAGTCGAACCACACTGACTGTTGTCCGTCGTCCGACCTGGTGCAGGGCGGGGGTCCTCCGCTGGAGCCCAATCACCCCGTTGTTTTTACAATCCCAAAAATGTTTCCGCAGCTGATACCAAACCAGCCAAAGTTTCTCACGGACGGCACTTGACTCTCTGGAGAGCTCGTATAGTCCAGAAGCTCGACGCCGATCATGGGATCTCGTGACACTAACACGCCGGCAGCCTGTCCTCGTCAAGTTGCATATGTGCGACCGGCGCGTTGTATCGAGGCCCCTGTTTGCCGTAGTTTTCCGCTACGGACCGCTTTGCTAAAAGGCGCTACGACGCCGCTGTGAGACGGCGCGATCGCTGTAAACGGTGCCCGTGTAACCGGTGCATCACGTGAGGCGCTCGGCGGTGGTGGTCTGTCGCGAGAACGGACCATCGTGTACCCGGCTCACCAGGTGAGCAGTCCGACACACCACCGGACCATAGCGTCAGTCAGCTGCCATGGCAACCGTCCGTCACGCACGGTCTCCATCAAGTCACCGCATCACTGAGCACAATATGTCTGGTACGCTGACCAGCACGCATGCAGTTCATGCTAGGAACGTGCCACCATCATCGCATACATCACACGCTCCTGAACACGGAACACACCGCGATCACCACACACGCCCCACGAACACCCATCGGCGCTGATAGCCGCGTCTCGCAGCCCTCTCACCGGTCTTGCTGCGGAAGACGACCTGCTTGGGCGCGTTGAGCTGGCGCCGGGGCAGCATCGGGCTGGCGCCGGGCGAGGCCGCCTGGCCCATCTTGCCCGCCACCGTGAACCTGCCAGGACACCAGGCACCGGCGTCAGCAGGCGCGGTCTGCATGATGTGGTATGATCTTGTGACTGCACAACGTAAGGTCAATACATACGCGCTAAAAACGGCCGACAGAAACGTTGTGCACCAGCGTGGAGGAGCGGAGGGCCCTGAAAACAAAAACCCGCCACGATCTCGACGTGGACGACGACCTGCTGGCCCACCTAACACACGGCGCAACGGGACACCCGCACACGGGCGTTTGGAGCCGCCGCATCAGCCGGAACGCCAACATGCTGGGAGCGGAAACCGCGCCGTGGCCCACGTGCGACACAATGGGCGACAACCACTCATGCCAGGACCAGCGCGGCAGTGGAACTCAATGCGAATTACGTAACGCTGAGGGACGCGGGTGTCAGTTCAGTCCGACACTGCTGTCATTGCGGCTGTCAGCCAGCACACCCAAACACTGGCCGACGGCTCTGTCGGCCGCCGACGAGGCGTCACGGAGCCACTCACTACCACCGACAGTAAACACCATTAGCCGCAGACAAAACGCATTGTCAACGGCTACTTGCAGCCTGTGATCCAGCGGGGGGCCGCCGCCGCGCCTGCATCATCTGTCCGGGACTGCTGACAGACGAGACGGGCAGCTGCAAACGGACGGAGCAGCGACAGCGGGGCGTGTCCGCGGCACTGACTCATCGCGACAGGCACGGCAGCGAGGAGCTCCCTCACAGCCGTGATTTAGAGCCCGTTCTCCAGCCGACTGTGGGTCTCCACGGCGGCGTGGGTCCTTCCCAGAGGGTACGCAGCGCCGCCGCTTCCCGTCTCGATTTCGAGCCCCTGCCCACGTCATTTCGAGCCCCTCTCGGCTGCGTCACTTCTGCCGGCTGCCCGGCAGCGCGCCGTCGGCGTGGCTTACTTGTTGGCGTCGTTCTCGGGCACGCGGGCCTTCCAGCCCTCGGTGGCGGTGAGCTGAAGCGCTCCGGACATGCGCTCGATGTGACTCACGGGCCGGTCAGAGGCCGGCGTCGTCACCGCCACCACCTGGAGCAACGGGGGCGAGCCGGTCACGACACGGCACGGCACGGCACGGCACGACACGGCACGACACGGCACGGCACGGCACGGCACGGCACGGCACGGTACGACACGGTACGGTGGGCTCAGTCCGGGAAGGTCAGACCAAACCAGGCCAGTCGGGTCAGACTATGTCACACACCGGCGTCACCGCCGCCGCCACTTGGGATAGATGGGTCAGGTCAGGTCAGGTCGGACCAGATCACACGTCAGTGTCACCGCCAGCCTCGTCACTCATCCCACCCGCCACAAAAGATAAAGAGCGGGGTGAGGTCAGGTCAGGTTGGGTCAGCAGTCGGCATCAACCGAAACAGTCAGGTTATGTCAGGTGGCAGGGCAGAGCAGGGCAGGCCAGGGCAGGTCAGATCAGGGCAAGTCAGGGCAGGGCAAGGCAGGGCAGGGTAGGGCAGGTGGGCAGGGCATAAAGACATGCCAGGTCAGATGCCAGGCTCACCACTACCACGGGAGTAGGGTCAAATCAAGTCAGGTCAGTTCAGATCCAACAGCGTCCGTGAAAAGCATGCCTCTTCCCCTCCAACTCTTTTCAACAGCTCGCCACAAAGCCAAAGATCACCACGACACCAGCTCCGGAGCAGCGGAACACTGGAGCACCGGAGCACCGGAGCCCCGGAGCACCGCAGCGGCCTCGCCGGCCGACAGACCGACCTTCTTCCTCAGCACGACGTCCGTGTGTAGACCGGAGTTGAACGCCTCGACCAGCGCCAGCTTGGGCTCCTCGCTGCGGATCCGGCGCCGCCAGTCATCCTCGCCAGACTTCTGCAGAGCCGCCAGTCTGCGGGCAGAGCCAACCCAGTCAGGCGTCGAAGTCAGGCGCAGGAGTCAGGTGCAGCAGTCAGGCGGCAGAGGGTCAGGCGGTGTGAGTCAGCCAACCCCACTCCCCTCCCCCCGCCTGACTCTTTTTCTCTCTGGCGGAGGGACGGAAGGAGGGGCGGTAACTAAGGGTGAGGGGTCAGGCGGTGGGGCCAGTCACCACAGGCAGACACCGGGACTCGATGGTTAGCTTGACACTCGAGGCGATAGTGGCGACCCCCGCAACGCCGTGGGGTCACCGATCGGTCTAATATCTCCGAGAGCAGACGGAAGGAGGGGGGACGCCATACCCTGGTGCTCATCCGTTCGTCAGCGGCGGCCGATCGAACGCGTACGAAACAGCGACAAAACGTAAGATGACCTTAACGTCAGTAAAAGCAGGGCAGCGGTCGACTGGTGCCAACGTCGATAACAACAGATCGTGGACTCTCACCGCCGAGGCCGCCGTAAACGGCACATGCCTATTAAGCGCCTTGTTTCTGATTCAAGACACCGAGCTGATAACGACGGCCACCGGTTCTTGTCAAAAATACGGGTGTTGGCCGGCATCAGCGTCGCATAAGAACGTTTGACACTGCCCGAACCAAGCTCAACACCACACCAATCCGTTATTCCGAGACAAGGTGACGACGCGAAAACAACTTGATCTCCATGCCTGCAACAACAGCCACATAAAAACAGACCCACGTTCGCCGCACAACAAGAATCTGCGACAGCTTTTCCACAAGCCCGCCCATGTTTTTATTTACACGGCGGTCCAAGCAAGCATGACGTCACCCCCACGGGACCATTTACACATCCAAAGCCACAGCCGGCGGGCGGCGGTCCCTATCTTTGCAAGCTGCCGCCCATCGGGCCGGCGCGAGAAGCCTGTCTGGCCGTTGGAATGATAAGCGTCGATATCTACGACAGGCCGCCACCTGTGCTGGCTAAGAATACCGAAGTACGAGTGGTGTCTTCACAAGTGTTCACAAGCAAGGACGGATTCAGCATAGAACCGTTGGAAGATACCAGCGCTGAATCGCACAACAATTCCCTGAAAGCAAACGCAACGGAAAATGCCTGGATGTTAACACTGACCTCATCTCCCCCCCCCCCTCACACTCCGCCCCTCCCACAGAAATACGGAAGACTGGCGCATACGTGCCTTAAAAATGGACCGCACAGAGCGGGCCTCTCGGAACACCCTCGCAGGCAGGCGACCCTTCGCTTGTTCGCTTCAAACGACCATTTGACACGCTGCGGCAGCACAAGGGGCGTCGCCTTGTAAAATGTGTGGCTGGCGCAGTCTTCCGTCATAACTATCGCCTGCGTCGTTGTGCCATTTCAAGCGCATCACACCGCACGTTGGTGCTCTCCTCGTTCGGCTCTCCTCATTCGGTTGTCGTCGTTATAGGAATGTCCACGAAAGATTCAGTGAAGCACTGCCGCCGGCTTGTGATGCGGCGCCGGTCCGGCCGGGCCCGGTGTACCTCAGCTAAGAGGCCGCACGCTCGAGACCGCGTGCTGTGTCCGGGTTCAGCCGGGATTGCCGCGGGACCCCGCAGGTCCCCGCAGCAATCCGCGCCGGAGATTGTGACGCTGAATGACGCCGGGTGTCGCACGTGTTGCTAGGACCAAACTCCCCATAAACGTACAAGTCGTAACCACGACCCTGTGATTGCTCCAGCCACGCTACCCCCAAGCCGCATACCCGCCCCGGACGACAGGACCACGCGTCTCGGTCTTCACCGCCGCTGCGGGGGCTCCTGTGGCATCGTGACGGCCAATCAGTAACACCGCCCCTCGTGCGCTCGCCGATCAGCTCGCGTTGCGTCACGCGCTGACCTCTGACCCGTCGAGCAATCCGCGCGCGCCGACAGATCCCCGGGCGCCGACGCAGCGAAAGGTCACGCGTGCAGGGGGCCTTGGACGAGGCGCCCCACGCCAGGCGGTCCCGCACGCGACGGACAGACCCGAGACTGGCAGTACGGCGAGGGCGAGGGATCAGCAAGTCGGATCGCACGGCATGATGTGATGTTATTTACGAGGCGATAATGCTGTCATCTACGCTCATGCGATAATACGGGCGGAAAGGCTCGAGTGGTCTGCTACAAAGGCTGGGGAACTGTAATGAGATGGGGGTCGGCAAGTCTGAGAAACAAAGCGACTTAACAAGCTGACTCAAGCCCACTTACATAATATACCGATGGGGAGGGGGGGGGGGGGGGACTGCGAGAGAGGCGCTTTTGACCAGCTATAGCTGTGATAGCATGTTGCTGCTGGGTCCGTGAGTTTACAGACCATTTTAATCCAGCGGAATCCTTGGGAATGAAACTCGGCAGACTTATGTCGACCAAAAAGCTTCCCAGCTGCGTCAGTTACGCCCGTGGGCAACACATCTTGAGAATACGTCACCAATCGCAGCTCAACAATTGAAGTGTAGGATGAGAATGAACGTCGCCTAACCTACAACTCAACCCACATTCGTTTTGCTACTAACCAGCATGAGTAGTTTTGCACGCCTTCGCAGCGCCTAACCCCTCGTGTTTCGACACACGTATTATTGTGTCAAAATCACTAAGCAATCGCACCAACCAAGACAAAAACCGATGGCCTCCGTAGTTTGGGGACAATTCGGCATTCACCATCCCAGAATGGATTTTGTGAGCCTTATGCACCGCCCACCGTCCGCGGTCAGCCGAACCGCACAATATCTGGCTGATTACCAAGAACCGCCCTGTTGGCTCAGGTCACAGACAGGTCCCAATCGGCAGTCCCGCGCGCCACACCCGAAACACGCCGCAAAGCCCGGCCACTTCAGCGATAAGCGCCATTTGTCAGCACTGCGATACGCGCGGTTATCAAATGAAAAAACGCACACAACAAACGTGATCACTCACAACGCTGGCATACGAAAACACCGGCAAACGATAATCCACTCCGACCGCGCAGTGCAACGCTGTTAAGCCCGCGGGCGACAAAGACCAGCTGCAAAAGCCGCCGACACCACTAAAACGACGGTCGCACGGTTTTTACGCTTCCAGCGGCGCGCGAGAAACAAAGACACGACGTGCAACCTTTGGCGCCGCGCCCGCACCACACGACGGTTTTCTCTGTACACTTATTCGGAACGAGGCCTGCGATGAGCTCCTTTGTTTTGTCGCCACCCCTCCCCACGCAGCGGTGGCACGGCCCGGTGGTACCCAATCTATACCAGCCCGAACTTCCTCCATTATCCCGGACATGAAAGGTTCCGCCCGGTACCACCGCCTTTCGCCACGACCGGCGCTAATTGGACGCGTGCTGCCTGCCCACCCCCGCGAACAGCTGGCGTCCGCGCCGTCAGTGGTCACTGCAGTCGCCTGGTGCCGTTTGGAGTGACGTGTTCCAAACCGACGGGCGCACTGGAACACAGCGCCCCCAGAGCCTCGGTGACATCATCACCTGTTCCGTTCCCTGGCGGCTGCAGCCGGCTGAAAGGCCCCTCCCGGTGCTGGCGGCGGTAAAAACGCGATAGGACACACTCAAAGGGGCCTCGGCGACAATTGGGCGATGACTTCATCCGGCACTCCATCTGACCACGACAGAGGGTGGGGGAGGGATGGGGCGGGGAAAGAGGGAGGGAGGACGACGGAACTGAGACGGAGGTCAGCACGGGGGGCTCCAGCGGAGGTGTCGTGTCAGACCAACCGCCGAGTCGGGTTTCGCTGGGTGGGTAAAAACTGGGAGCGGCAAGAAACGCCGAGTCTGCGAAGAGTAAAATGCGGCAAGGGCATACTTTCGAGCAAAACATGGTGCTAATCACGCATGATGGTAGAGACAGGGGGAGAGGATGATACCGCGGGGAGAGGGTGGGGTCTGTGTGGGGGGGGGGAAGGGGGGGGGGGGTTGAGGTGTGAGCGCCAACACCTTACTTAGTGGAGCTCAGGTGATATTAAGAAGTCACGTGCGAGTGAGCGTGCGGAAGCGAGCAGTGCCAACGCGGGTAAATAAATGAATGAAACAGAAGGCCGGAGCGCGGCCGCACGGGCGATAACAGACGGCGACCAGAAGGCCCCGGGGGCGTGGTGGTCGTGCCAGCGGACGGCACAGGTCTGCGCGCCGTCCATCTGCTGTGGATCTGCACGAGACCAGACCAGACCAGAGCCGCACACAGGCCAGCACACACCGCCACAGCCGCCGCCGCGCGGCGGGCCGGCCAGCACGGTGGACAGACGCACGTACACAGAGCCCAGCGCCGACAGCCGGGAGAGGAAGTCACCGCGCCGGTCCCACCCACCCACACACACAGCGCGCTCGCAGCCGGAGCCGGCCGGCTGCAGCCGGGCCGCTGCACGACAGCCGACCGACGCCGAAGCCCGGCGGGCCCTGCTCACTATTCAGCACCCGCAGCGGAGCCGGGGGTCACACGTGACCGGGCGTAATGGCGTGACGAGGGGGCGGGGCGGGTGATGGAGGTCGCGGCCGTGCGCCGGCGGTGTGGTGTGATCAAGATCGCCCAGCCGGAGAGAGGCGATCGACCCGCCCGGCGCCAACGCTCGCGCCGCCAGCCGAAGTAGTGTTATCGCGAGCTCACAGGCGTCGCGGTCCGTCGATGACGGTGATTAATAATAGCGCGTCGCGTTACCAAGTCACTCGGCCACAGCGCGAGCTGTAATCCCAGTTCGTTTGCGCTTCCAGCAAAAGGACCACAACGGATGAGGCTCAAAGGAAGCCATGGCATTCGTCCGAAAGCATCACGCATTGTTGTCCGCCACGCTTCCAAATGCATGCATTGGGTGCTAACAAGCAATCTGCCGGAGTTTTTAACAGCGTTAGCACACACCATCGGTGCGCCTAACACAGCGATGCGTGAAATCATCGCGGTGATGGCTTTCAACCTCGGACATAACAGTCGACAACTAACCAACCACTGGACGGCAAGCATCCATTCAACCGCTGGACGGTGCGGAGAGCATCATTCTGCTAGCATCGGCCGGACCGGACCGGTCAAACTGTAGCTGCAACAGCCGGTCCGGACCTGCCGAACTGTAGCCGCATCAGCCAGTCCGGACCAGCCGAACTGTAGCCGCATCGGCCGGTCCGGACCGGCCGAACTGCAGCCGCATCGGCCAGTCCGGACCTGCCAAACTGCGCCCGTATCGGCCAGTCCGGACCGGCCAAACTGTGCCCGCATCGGCCGGTCCGGCAGTACACCAGCCAGCTCATCCCCGGCGCCGCCCGAGCCGGCGACAGTTCGGGCGCTCCGCCGGCATCTCTTCCGCACGGAGGAGCAGCCCCCGCGGGCCGATACCGGCACGCGACACACGTCGGCCGGTATCGATTCGGAATGGCGGGGAGCGCCGTCCAGGATCGGGTCCGCTCGTCAGGAGCGCGGACGCCGCCTGGCCCTCGCCGCCGTCGCCGCCTGACAGGAATGGCAAGCGGCAAGAGAGGGGAGGGGGAGGAGGAGAGGGCCACGGGTCACTGGCCGAGAAACCGCGGCGGCAGGGCGGCCCGTACCGCGATCAGCTGACCGCGCCGCGCCAGTGATGAGGAAGCGACCGGCTGCGGAGAACAGAAGCGCGGTCTGAAGGAGCAACTGGCGTACGTAAAGCCAACGCCGTGGTGTATCTTTCCACAGACGTAGAGATGGCGGTTCGACACTCGGCCCAGACGTCGGGGCGCGACGCGTATCATTAAGTTCGGATGGCTTAATATCCAGGACGATGGCGAACAGAAAACGACTTTAAGATCCCAACGCGCTTCCTCCCGCACGCATCCCGACACGACCTGCGTCCTGCATCTCCAGCTGAACGATGGCCACCCCCACAGAGTTGTCGGAAATTCGACAGCCGACGGAGACCAGCCCCAACGAGCACACGGCCAGCCAGAGCACCATCTCGGACCGCCGCCTTGACCAAAGGGACACCGACGCGGCTCATACAACAGTTCCACACGGCCTCCGGCAAGACGCCGCCGTGTCCGCACGACCTTAAGTCCGGAACCGGCGCCGTGAGCAAGCGCATTCACAAACAACCCCTCGGCACGACGCGACTGACCCAGTGACCGCTGCGCCCCCTCCCCTCCCCCCCCCCCGCCCGAGAGACGTAAGGGCAGGTCGCGGCACCCACGCTGTCTGCAGCGCAGGCACCGATAACACGCTGGACGGGCCGGGCGGGCCTTGACACGTCGACTAGCTCCAGAGCTCGGTCATGCCCCGAGTGACGAAACCGACGAGACCAGCAGACGTCGCTCATCAGTAGTCACGAGAGACAGGCCTGGAGCCATGGGTGGGCGCCGATAGGAAATGGATGAGCTTACACAGTCAGACAGCCGACAAAAGCAAGTAAATAGTCGGAGCTCGAGCCAAAGCATGTTAATTAACAGGGAATGATCGACGGAAATACAATACAGTGATACATAGCGGCAGACAGCTAGTTTATCAACCTTGTACCATAATGGCGAAGCCCCGAACCAGGCAGGTTTGAGATCATTTCGAGTTCCTTATGCATAGCAGTAACGCAGCCCAACCAATAGGATTCTGCGCAATCAAGAGAGTCAATCATCATGTGAGAACAGACGGAGTCCATGCGGAGTTCCTACAGAGTCAGTGCGGAGTCAGCGGGCTGAGGTGGAGTCTGGCGACTGCGTTCTCCACTCTGGCGCGGGGAGGCACAGTCAAAACACTCCCAAACGCCACCACAAATGCCATTTTTGAATCATGCTACCGGAGCGCCGGCCCTCTGGCGGCCTCCGCACGCAACTCGTTGGCGCCAATCCGTTGCCCTTTGATCCCGAGCCCAGACATCTGACCCGCCCGGCCCATTTGTCCCGCCTGAGGCGCTTAGATGCTGACCTGACAGCAATCCGGCTCGATGCTGATTGGTCGATTTTGAGCGAGGAGACAGGCAAGAGGCAGTGAACACAAGCCGGGTTTGTAAAGCACGAAAACATATCCACTTCGTTGCCACCCAAGTGGCCGGATATTGCAACAATGATGACATCCTATCGCCAGATAACATCCTACGCGAGGACATCGCTGTTAAAGGCAAATCGTTCTGCCCCACCTCGGCACATTGCACTCAAAGCGGAACATGCAGGCAACCGCAAGCTTTGGCCCTTGCTGCTTCACCGTGTTCGCGTGAATCTCCGACCCCTTCCCTCTAATCTCTCGAAATCAATCGCCTTCTGGCGTTCGCCAGCACAAACACTAGCCTAGTTTGCGCCTCGATGCATCTTAACGTAATCCATGTGACAGATAAAATGCACAGGGTCCAAACCTACCATGACTGCAAGTTGCTCACACTACAAACACATCAATGACTAGGCTTTTAAAGGTCGCACAACGGCAGCAACAGCGCTTTCATCATCCCAGATAAGGCAATCAGCTGACGCTAAGCCAGAACAACGATTGTCTGTCGCCAGATGGGATTTCCGTCCGATAAGGGTGGTATCGGTTTGTCTGCACCTCCACTGCAGCATCCACGCCCCCATGCGCACCACAATCATGCACCACGACTGTACCCACTGTCCGACCTGGGCGGGGGGGGGATGCTCAATACTAGCAGGTGCGTCTGCACTGGTGCGGAATGGGGCCCGTTACCGGCGATGGCGAGCGGAAATAAGGTCACAGCTCGGATTATGACACCGCTCGGACTTGCGTGGCCGCGTGGCGTGGGTGTGAAGAGGCGGCCCGGATACCTTACACCCGTCCTGAACACTCCCATCAGCCGCCTCCGCCCGGGTGGGCGGCCATCTATTCCAGGAGGGCGGAGGACCAAATGGTTCTGTACTTTAACATGAGGTCTACAGGCGTGGTCTAGATATTATCGACCCAAAACGCTCCTGCGCCACAAATCTGAAGAGCTCCCCTTCTAGAGCACGCCTCTGCCGCAGCAGGTGCCGCCGGCCGCCCCCGACCCCACAGGTCACGGCGTGACCCCAACCCACCTGTCCTTGATGCCGCCGGTGCGCCGGATCTCCGGCGGGGTGGAGTCGGACTCCGGTCGGCTCGGCCGGCCCGGCCGGCGCCTCCGGCTTCTGCAGCACCATCTGGCCCTGGCGCTGGCGGCGACTGACGCTAGCCCGCGAGCGGCGGGTGATGTCCGCCGCGATCTCCTCCACACTCTTGCCCGGCTCGCTGGCGGAGCCAGGAGGCGAGGTCACCGAGGGTCGCCGCGTGGTGGGCGCAGGTAAGTGTCGGGGCTTCAGGGCACGTTGGTGACGATGGCTGCTCTGCACTAGGGACAGGCGCGGGCACCGGGAACTGACACACACAGAGGTACGGACGCGTGGACAGACACGAGGAAAAGTACTGAAACCCAGACAGGCACGGGCAGAAATACACACAACTGCGCAGAGAGGATGGTTACGAGCTGCTATCAGTCCCTCCTCTCCCCCTTCAGTTTTTCAGAAGTAAGGACTATGAAATCATACAACTCAATTGACCGGTAGCAATCTGAGCCTTTCTATGCGTTCTGATCACTCGTTCGAGACCGGGTTGAGCTTCTTCAAACGCGACTGTAACTGTCGAAACACCTGCGCCTAGCCGTTGCGGAAGGAGGCGGGGGACGACTCGGCTCTTCTAAGCCGAGACGAGAGACAGACAGACAGATGAGAGACGAGAGCTCCCGCGGCAGCGGGAGACGCGGGACGCGCCGGTGCTGCCGGCAGGAGACAGGAGACGGGCCATCTCCGACGGGGAACGACTCCGTCAGTGACGTGCCGGTCAAGTCACGCGATAGGGCGATAATGAGCCGCCGTGAGGGAAAGTGGCTCCCACGCGACGACTGGGACATAACTGCATCATGCGGTGAGGCAATTACTGAAGCCCTACTGGGCACCGGCCGGCAAAATTGGCCAAGTAGTTTGGTGCTGCGGAGCATGATGTGGCATGGATTAGTCAGAGGGAGACCAAACGAGTCCGACGCCGCGTCACAGCGGAGAGCGTCGGGCGGCTGCAAGTGTGCAGCCGCCGGCCGGCTGCAGATGTGCGACGGCGCGAGAAAAAACAACGCGCAGCGGGCGGCGGCGAAACACCAGTCCAAACAGAGGCGGCCGGGAGGCGACGGCGCGCGGCCGCGCCGACGGGCCTGGGACGCGGCCAGCTGGGGGCGTGGTGCCGGGGGACGCCATCACGGGCCGGCTCCTCGCCGCTGACGGCTGACCTGGTCCCGACCAGGTCGTCACTGAGCGCCGGCTGGTGCCAGCCACCGAGCGCTCCTCAAGCGGCACCCATCAAAAATGGAGCCGGGCACGAGGGGAGGGGCGGGGAGGGGCGGGGAGAGGGCGGACTTCTGCGGTTCAGAATAGGTCGAGCTCGCCCGTGTCGCTGTCAGAGGGATGATCGCCGATGGCCAGGGCCTCCTACAGGGAATGAAGGGATCTGTCCACACTCACGCTCAGCACGTGGTTTCCATTTCCATGGCACAAGGCAGTTCTCACTCATCGGAGCGCTGTGAGCGCTTCACACTGGCCGTGGTAGCCAGCCAAATATTACTACATCCTTTGCGATACATGTACAGGTAACTCCTGATCGGTCGTGATATTCTGTTACTAGCAAACGTGGCGAGGGAAGGCGTCCAACTGGCTCAATCGCTGTTCCGCTACGACGCAAACACACAAACGCTTTTCCACTATTCCTTGAGCATCGAAAGTACAGGTGGTAGTATCCTCAAATTAATCAGTCATCTGCACGTGGGGGCCCGCGCAATGCCACTTTGGACGTTACCCATTGATCATGCTCCGTTGGTACGCTTTGACCGCGCACCACAAAACGCAAACCTCAATACATCTCACAGCACGCAATGCATTCACTTCAGCGGTGTCCTAGTGAAGATAATTCAAGGCCTCAACTGGGCATGTTGCAACCTAATTTCCCGTGACGCTACGGAGCCCCAAAGCTTCATTCATCGCCGTCGCTGTACGCGTTGTCACCGAGGTCAGGCCCAATTCAGTCCAATTTCTGGGAAGGTCCCCAAACACCTTTATGACATAATTCGTCGTGAACGAGGCCTTTCCCAGGCTGAATTGGCTGGCGCACAAGATCCGCCCGACCCGGCCGGCGTGTGCACTCGGACAAGGTCGGCTGGTGCCCTCCTCCCGGGGCAGCGTACCTCACGGCTGCTGCACAGCTCAGCACGGGCCCCGCCGCGACACGGCGCCGTCCCACGAGCTCCGAAGATGAGCTGTCTCGCGGCTGCTGCACAGCTCAGCACGGGCCCCGCCGCGACACGGCGCCGTCCCACGAGCTCCGAAGATGAGCTGTCTCGCGGCTGCTGCACAGCTCAGCACGGGCCCCGCCGCGACACGGCGCCGTCCCACGAGCTCCGAAGATGAGCTGTCTCGCGGCTGCTGCACAGCTCAGCACGGGCCCCGCCGCGACACGGCGCCGTCCCACGAGCTCCGAAGATGAGCTGTCTCGCGACTGCTGCACAGCTCAGCACGGGCCCCGCCGCGACACGGCGCCGTCCCACGAGCTCCGAAGATGAGCTGTCTCGCGGCTGCTGCACAGCTCAGCACCGGCCCCGCCGCGACACGGCGCCGTCCCACGAGCCCCCGAGACGAGCTGTCTCGCGGCTGCTGGACAGCTCAGCACCGACCCACCGACCCAGCCGCGACAAGGCGCCGTCCCACGAAGCCTCGCCGCCAGCTCCATTGACGGGGGGGGGGGGGGGGGGCGTGTGTCGACGAGGTCGGCTTCAGCCCGGGACAGCAGGGACCGTCCGGGCCGACAGTGTGGCCGCCAGCGTGGCGCCGTCACCCGCTGACGGCGGCGACGCTCTGCCTGGGGCACCGACAGTGCCAAAACGATCATCACGCCTCGGACTTTGGCGGCGTCACCGAAGGACGCGAGGAGGTACCACATGCATCGGCGTCATAAACACCCGAAGTGTGACAAGCCAACAAGCATCAGCGAAAAACTAGCGCGTCAAAGACAGCGCCATTCAATTCCACTTCGCACGCGGCACCAATCCACCGCTGACGCCTTCTCTCGATCATAACAAGGCGCATCACCAATGCGCGAGGCACCGATGTGGGTGAAGGCCGGGCCATATCCGGTGGGCGGACTCGCCGAGTCGTGTGTGGCAAGAACGACGCCGAAAACGGAGCGCGGAGGCGGCCCTGGTGACGCGGAAAGGACGCCAGCGACTCGCCCCGCGCGCGGAGCGCGGCTCGCAACAGATGAGCAAAACATGCAAAACAGGGCGGCAAGTCCAAATATGCACCGCGCATTGAGGACACGCAAAAACAGCCGCTGTGCTAGATTTTCACAGCAGGCTCAGTCGGCTATCGCGCGAAAGAACGACGGAAAGAAGACAGATTCGAAGAGAGGTCCCGAGCAGTCACGCCTACCGCCGGCAGGATGCCGTCTCTTACCAGGAGCCGGCACTCCTCTCCGCACGCGTGTCCCACCGCTGCGCCGGCACCGCCGCACTGCCAGCGCGCCACCGCCCCCTGCGCACCAGCGCGCCGCCGCTCGGCACCGCGGACCAGCGCCGCCGCGCGCGGGCACGCAGCCGACGTGTCCACGCGCCACCGCCGCGTGATTCACACTGCGGCCGTCACCGACGGAGGCGCGGCCGACCCTGCGGCCTTCACCCGACGCAGCGCGGCGGCGTGGCGGAGCGGCGCGGCGCGGCACGGGCAGGGCACGGCACGGCACGGCGCGGCACGAGCAGGGCATGAAGCAAGGCACAGGCACGGCACAGGCACGGCACGGCACGGCACGGCACGGCACGGCACGGCACGGCACGGCACGGGCAGGGCAGGACAGGACAGGGCACGGCACGGCACGGCACGGCACGGCACGGGCAGGACACGGCACAACACAGCACGGCACGGGCAGGGCACGGCACGGCATGGCACGGCATAGGCACGGCACGGCAAGTGCCAAGGTAGGGGAACGGTGTGGATCACGGCGACGCGCGCGGTTCAGGGAACGGTACGGAGGGCAGCAGAGGGCGGCACAGAGCGCGGTACAGAGCGGGGTAAGACACAGAGCGCGACACAGCGCAGGGTGAGGCACAGAGCGCGGCACAGAGCAGAGTATAACGCAGAGCGCAGCACAGAGTGCGGCACAGAGCAGAGTACGACACAGCGTAGGGCGCGACACAGAGTGGTGCAAGGTACGGAAAACAGAGCAGACCAGAGCGCGCGGCACGACACGGAGCCGGATGCGGGACGCGGCATCCACTCAGACGCATCCAGACCCGTGGCGGGACCCGGTCGGCATTGGCACCAACGGCAGACGCGCAGACGTACTGGGTAGCCGGAGGCGCAGACAGCGAGGGTTGGGGGTGCCGGGCTGTACACCTCAACACAAGCGGAACGCCATAATCACAGTCGTGATGATGCCGTAACATATGCAGTAAACGCGCCGTTTCCTTAGCGTTATCGCACTAGCCCGCCGAGGCCCTTCCCGCCGCGTTTGGCCGGAGCCGGGCAAGAAACAGATACTCCGGGCAGCGTTGTATGTGCGAGGAGTGGGACGCAAAAACCCGCATGCCAGCTGGTGAGAGCCCGGTGGGGGGCCGAAACCCAGCCTCCGACTCCGCTGGCTCTGCCTGTGCAACAACCGCAACCCGGATCCAACCGGCAGGCGGCGCTGTGAGGCGACACCCGGCAGCGGGCAGCGCCGCCCCAAAGTGGGACACCATATCCGGGGTGTATTGGAGGCGCCCCCCGGCATCTGCCTGCAGGGTGACACTCGCCAGCCCCAGGGCCGCCCTCCACGAGATCTGCACGGCGGCACTCACAAGGCTCCGCTCCGCGCGGTGTTCCCACACGGCCGTCCCGCCCTCCAGCCGCGCGCGCTATCTCCCACGTCCCTGCCACTCTCCTCAGCGATCCACAGAGCCATCCTGCCCGCCGCCGCCCGCGTCGGCCGCCGTCCCACCAGCATATACCACTACTCGATCCATGCTTATCGACACCACGTTCACTGGCGTCCTATCTCCCGTCTGCGGCACGGGCCACACGTGCCACACACGGGCGTCACGCGGCGCACCACCCGCACACGGCGCATATAAGGCGCGGCGCGGGCGGCGAGCAGCCGCAAAAAGCGACGTGAGAGGCTGCACCACTCTGGCACTCTCCGTGGCGGAGGACGCTCGGGCCGCGTAAAAACAGCGGGTGACCTTGACTGCCGCGGCGATGTAAGCACACGCCCGGCCGTGCGCGCACACCGACATACGCCGGGCGCGGCCGGCGGCGGGCCAAGCTGCCGCAGCCAGGTGAACACGGCCGAGGCGCCGCTGTTTGCGCTTCCCGTCGCGCCGGCGCGCACCGCGGGCCCGGTGCTCACGAGGGTGTGCCGATGACGTCACTGGCAGGGGGGCCGCTTCCGCCGACACCGGCCGGACAGGTTGCCGCGCCCGGCCGAGACGGCGCTGATTCACCCACGACCGTCCCAGCAGAGGTGGCCCGGTCAGCCCCGCCCCCTTCCGGTCCGGCGCCGGCGACGGCTGCGCTTGGGTCTCGGCCGCTGCGTTGGCTCGTTCGCAGGGCGACGAGAGAACGCTGCTGCGCGGAGCCGTGGTCCAGCCACCGGTCGCCATTCGAGACGGAGCGTACGCGCTGGACATCCGTTTCCACTCCGCCCCACGAGCGAGAGCGTGCTCACCGCGTGCGACCGAGCACCGCCGCGTCGCGCCACGCCCCGATCTCCCCGCCTAGAGCCCCGCCCCGCCTCGTCCCCCTCCCCCCCGCGCTCCGTCCATTAGCGGTATCCGCCGCGGCGCCCAGACCGCGCCTGCCGGCGCCGACACAATGCTGGCGGCGGAATACCACCGCCATTGTCGCCGCGGCGTGCTGTGGCGCCGCGGCCAGCGCGCCCGTCAGCGGCGAGGGATGCCACTGCTGGCGGCGCGTGACACCCAAGCCTCGGCCGGGGTTACGTCTGGCGCGCGTCGGCTCGCGTGACGGGCCACGCTCGCACGAATGGCGGTGTCACGCCGTCACTGCGGCTGGCGCAACGCACACAGTGCGCAGGGCATGGTGAAGGACCCGTGCATGCGATGGCTGAGACACCCGGCGGTACACAATGGGTCCGATGCCACTGGCGAGCAGCGAGGTCACGGAGTGGCAGACTTTGCATAGGGTTTATGTGGTAGCAGGCAGACAAGCAGCAGTACAAAGAGGATAAACCGTCGCACCAGTTCAACGCCGAAGAGTACGGGACACCAATTACAAGTGGCGTGCAAAATGTCACGAATACGGTGTTAAGTAAAGTGCCAAGGGGCAGGGCCCGTGGACCGCTAGCTGTTGCCATGGCTCAGTGCACTCGCAAAGACTGAACAAAAATTACCCAGCGCTGGACACATGGTCAATATTTTAGCTTTGTCGCAAACTGGCATCTCAAAATCACCTGCTGGCAGCGTATTTGAGTAGGTAACGTTCTTACCAATTGCCGGGCCTGATGCACTGGTTTCTCCAAAGAACGCGACAGCGCGGAGACGCCATCTCAGAAGTTTTGTGAGAAAACATTTCTTGTCATAGAGCACGACAACCTTTTTTCATCAAGCAAACAACCACGACCTTGCAGTCAGCACCTGTAGCCACCCCGGGCGCTGCAGCGGCGGCCGTGGCGCGCCGGCCGACTCACCTGGCAGCCGGGTTGTGGCGCGGGTCCAGGCTGAGCAGCTGATCGGCCAGGTTGCCGCCGAACGCGCCCTCCTCTTCCGAGCCGCTGAGGCTGGAGGAGCCGCCCGCCGGCTCGGCGCGCGGGCCAGGCCGCGGCGCCGCCCGCTCCGGCGAGCCGGGCCGCGACGACGGCCGCAAGATACCCCGCGCCCGGCCCTCGGGGCTGGTGGGGCGCGACGGGGGCTTCAGGATGCCCCTGGCCCGGTCCTCAGGGCTAGTGGGACGCGATGGGGGCTTAAGAATGCCCCGCCCCTTGTCCTCAGGGCTGGTGGGACGGGACGGCGGCTTTAGGATGCCGCGGCCCTTGTCCTCGGGACTTGTGGGACGCGATGGAGGCTTCAGAATACCCCTGCCCTTGTCCTCGGGGCTTGTGGGACGGGACGGCGGCTTCAGGATGCTCCTGGCCCTGTCTTCCGGACTGGTGGGCCGCGACGGAGGTTTCAGGACGCTCCTGGCTTTTCGTCGGGACTGCTCGGCCGCGAGGGCGGCTTCAGGATGCCCCTGCCCCTCTCCTCGGGACTAGTGGGCCGTGACGGAGGCCTCAGAATTCCTCGGGTCTTATCCTCGGGGCTGGTGGGCCTCGAAGGCGGCTTGAGGATGCCCCTGCTCTTGTCCTCGGGGCTCGACTGCCGGGACGGCGGCTTGAGGATGCCGCGGGTCCTGTCCTCCGGACTCGTGGGACGCGAGGACGGTTTGAGGATGCCGCGGGCGGCCTCCTCCGGGCTGGAGGGGCGGGAGGACCGCTTCGGCGGCTTCTTGATGGCGCCGCTGGTGGCTGTCGGCTCCGAGAAGGTGACGCCGCCGGAGCCGGACTCGGGCTTTAGAATACCTGTCAGCGAGACAGCACGGTGAGGCTCTGAAAAAACAATAAAAAAGGCTGCAGCGTAATGTATCCGGTAGGAGAGCCGGCTGTTATTTCTAGGCAAGTAGTATTCTCGCGAACGAGTGATCCTTCCAGTGACTCAAACGGTGCATACAGGGAAAACTTGCAGGCAATCGTGCTCCCAGATCCAGCTTACTTGTCACTGTCGTTCCTTGAGTTGGCAACGAGTTACTGAATCAGTCACACTCATGTACTTCTGCACGAGACTATAAGCCACGGACAATACGGCATTCATGTCCTTAAACCGCTATGTCTAATTACGTCCGTGGTTTTACGCACCGAAACCCATTGTCCGAGCGTCCAAAGTTTTTAAATCATCGCCTTTACGGACTGGCTGCAGCGGATTCAACGCTCAGCATCGGCGACATCCCGCGTTCGCCATAGTGCCGTGGGCGTGACCGTGCCGTGGGCATGGCCGTGCCGTGCCGTGGGCGTGGCCATAGCCGTGCCATGGGCGTGACCGTGCTGTGGCCGCGCCGTGGCCGTGCCGTGCCTCCAGACGCCCGCAGCTCCACGGGCCAGACTTGCGTTCCGGCGCGCCCTCCGGCTCGACCTCACTCCATGGAGGCGGAATCCCACCCCGACCTGACGAACCACGCAATGACGCTTCAACACGCCCCGTCCACACCCCAGCTCGAAACGCGTGCAACTGACCGCACGCCCCGACTGAAGGTGAGCTCATATCGCCCGCACCCTATCGGCGTCGCCATGACGACCCTATCTGATGATCGTGCGGGCCGCATCCCGACCTTTACACGGAGCTGAGCTGCCGACTCCTCCCACGCGCCGCGGTCACCGTTCCGCCGCTGACCCGTTCTGACCAGCGTGGCTCTTCCTCAGCACGTCCCTTAGCAAACCTCGCGTCCCGCCGGCCACACCAGGGTCGCGCGCCCCGCGGCCGGCGGCCTGGCCTGGCGCGCCACGTACCCCTGACATCTCTGTCGGCGGGCAGCGGCCGGGCGGGCGGCGGCCGGCCGGCCAGGCCCAGCAGCACCTCCTCGCCGTGGCGCGTCATCAGCTGGCGGGCTTCGCGGAACGACAGCCCACCTGCGCCGGCCGGGCACGCGGTGTCACACGAGCGGCGAGCGCGCGCGCGCGCCCGGGCTGGCGGCGGCGACGCCACCACCACCGAGGTCAGCGGCGAAACAACCAAACAGCTGGCCACACACGTGCGAAACCGGCCTTCGAGCGTGCGTGCGGCACGTTCGGGCATCGACGGCATGTTCGAGGCAAACGTGTGTCGGCATGTTGGAGACACATCGCGACATGTTCGAAGCATCCACACGCAGCCGGCGCCGGTTGCCGGCTTGCAGGCGGCCGACAGTAATGCAGGACGGAAGAGGGCGACAGACGGCGAAGACAGTCAGCGGCTGGAGGCACAGCGGCCGTGGGAAGCCGCCGGGGGCAGAGACAGCCTGAGACAGCAGCCAGCGACAGGCGCGGGCGGTGGGAAGACCCGAGAGCGTGGACAGCTGCCGAAGGGGACGTGAAAGGCCGACCTAGCGAACCCACGACAGGGAGAGAGAGCGCCGGACACAAGCCCGAAGCGGTGACAGAATCACAGAATTGCAGAGCCGCGAGAAGGGAGAGTCACAGAGCGCCGGAGGCGAAAGACAGAGGAATAGCGAGAGCGACCCGCAAAGCGCCTGGAGAAGAGACAGCCAGCCAGAAGACACTGCGTCCTAGACCCCAGCGGAAGAAGCGGCGGCATGGATCGGGCCGGACCGCACCTAACGTCTCGGGATCGGGCGGCGGCGCCAGGCACACGGCCAGCGGCGAGACGCCGTGCGCGCGCGCCACCTCCTCCGGCGTGACGGGCTGCGTCTGGAAGCGGGCCGAGCGTGGCCGGCAGCGGCGCGGGCCGGCCGGCGGCGGCGGCGGCGGCGCCCGAGCCTCCGCCAGCGCCTGCTGGTACAGTCGGGCGCGCGCCGCCACGGACAGCGGCGGCGACGACGGCGCCTCTGTGGGAGGCGAGCGTCAGCGCGGCCGCTCGCCGAGGGGAGAGGGGGGGGGGGGGGGGCGTGCGGGGCGTGCGGGCGTGCGGCGCATGCGGCGCATGCGGGGCGGCGACAGGCGAGTGAAGACGGCGAGCGGGCGGCATGCTAAGCACGGCTACGGCTAGTGGTGAGCGTTCGCCGACAGGCAGAGGCGCGGCAAGGCTGCTCTCAAGACCATCTGCCGGACAGTTACGGTCACATCTGCAACTGTCTGTCTCGGCATGCGACGAGCTAGCGAGCGTTTCCGTTACTGCTCAAGTTCAGACGTCCGTTGGTGGTGCGTGGAGTGTGAGGGCACCACCTGAGGGTGAGGGCATGACAGGCAAACCGTGGCTTGGGCTGCGCCGAGTGTTACCGGTGAGCAGCGCTGGCCAATTCCGCTGGTTACAGCGTTACGTGAGGACAGCCGTGAGGCGTTACGCTGGTTTATGCCACCGCAACTGATTTATTTGGGTGAGCCAATCTAGCATCGACTATAACGTGACGAGTGCGACGCCGCACGCCGGCGGGTTGTGATAGCTGTTTCAGTGCCCACAGCGCTGAAAAGCCGTGTTCCCCGCCCACCACCGCGGCGTGCCGTGACGTGCTGACGTCATGATGCCGTGATGTCACCCCCATACAGGTAGGTCAGTGTAGGGTGGGCTCACTCAAAACGACAAACGTTACACACCTCAATAAAGCCAGCCCGCGACCGGGCCGCTCCTGTGATTGCCTGACCTTGTTACCTTGCTTCTTAGGCGTCAGTGCTATTCACTCAGTTTTCCCAGCCGTTTCACGCGGGATTGCATAACACAACAGCTTGCAAAAGGCTAGCCAATACAGCATCTGACACGAGCCAGCTAAGTGAAAGCGCCACGCCCAGCGAGCGCCGACCCACCGTCCTCCAGGCTGCGGCGGCGCGGCGCCGGCACCGCCGGCGGCTTCTCCACGGGGCAGGGAGCAGCACCGGCGGCCGGGAGCTCCTCCTCTGCACGGGCGACCTCTGGCGGCGGCGCGGCGGCCGCCGCCGGCGCCGCCGGAGCGTCAGGGGCCGGCAGCGCGGCGGCGGCGGCCACCTCTCCGGGCGTGATGGGCTGGGTGGCGGCGCGCTCTGCCCGCTGTCGGCCGCCGCGCTGGTACCGCGCCGGCCGCGCCTGCGCCGAACGCTGCCGGCTGCGCATCTCGAACTCCAGGAACAGGTTCTTCTTCTGCTCCAGCGTCATGGGCGCGGCGGGCGCGGCGGGCGCGGCCGGTGCGGCGGACGGCGGCGGCGGAGGAAGCACCAGCGAGCGGTTCACAGCCTCGGCGGCCGCCGACTCGGTGGACGACGACGACGCACTGGAGTCAACCAAACGCGTTAGCATTGCAAGGGCGGACGCGCAGCTCATCTTAGTGTTCGGAGACGAGGAATACTGCACTTCAATTAGGCGACTGTCCAGCATGGTCTGTCTGCTTGCCAACACGCTATGCATACTGGACGAAGCACTGTTCAAACTCACAGCGGCTCAACCACTACGTGATCGCTACGACTGCTTGCGCCGTCGGACTGGCACGTCAGACCGCAGAATCACACCAACTGCCGCAGTGTCGCCGCTGAGCCCAAAACTAACGGACCATCGCAGCCAAAAGGCAGGGCGCGTCACCTGCGATCGCAAGGTCGTGAGTTCGATTCTTACGAACTGCTGTTTTCCCGTTTCCAGTCACAGCGTATGAGACACTGGCACATTACTCGCGGCTAATTATGACACGGACGATCACACCACTCCCTGCATCGCAACATAACCACAAGAGCCATTAAACACCAACACCAACCCGGCCGTCACAGCATCGGTCTCTGGGCCCGGTGCCAGCCACAGAAGCCGGTGCCAGCCTCAGAGCCCCGGTGCCGGCCTCAGAGCCCCGGTGCCGGCCTCAGAAGCCGGTGCCAGCCTCAGAGCCCAGTGCCAGCCTCAGAGCCCAGTGCCAGCCTCAGAGCCCCGGTGCCGGCCTCAGAGCCCCGGTGCCGCCTCAGAGCCCGTGCCAGCCTCAGAGCCCCGGTGCCAGCCTCAGAGCCCCGTGCCAGCCTCAGAGCCCGGTGCCAGCCTCAGAGCCCCGGTGCCAGCCTCAGAGCCCGGTGCCAGCCTCAGAGCCCCGGTGCCAGCCTCAGAAGCCCCGGTGCCAGCCTCAGAGCCCGGTGCCAGCCTCAGAGCCCCGGTGCCAGCCTCAGAGCCCCGGTGCCAGCCTCAGAGCCCGGTGCCAGCCTCAGAGCCCCGGTGCCAGCCTCAGAGCCCCGGTGCCAGCCTCAGAGCCCAGTGCCGGCCTCAGAGCCCCGGTGCCAGCCTCAGAGCCCCGGTGCCAGCCTCAGAGCCCAGTGCCAGCCTCAGAGCCCAGTGCCGGCCTCAGAGCCCGGTGCCAGCCTCAGAGCCCCGGTGCCGCCTCAGAGCCCGGTGCCAGCCTCAGAGCCCCGGTGCCAGCCTCAGAGCCCGGTGCCAGCCTCAGAGCCCGGTGCCGGCCTCAGAGCCCGGTGCCAGCCTCAGAGCCCGGTGCCAGCCTCAGAGCCCCGGTGCCAGCCTCAGAGCCCCGGTGCCAGCCTCAGAGCCCAGTGCCAGCCTCAGAGCCCCGGTGCCGGCCTCAGAGCCCCGGTGCCGGCCTCAGAGCCCAGTGCCAGCCTCAGAGCCCAGTGCCGGCCTCAGAGCCCGGTGCCAGCCTCAGAGCCCGGTGCCGGCCTTAGAGCCCGGTGCCAGCCTCAGAGCCCCGGTGCCAGCCTCAGAGCCCGGTGCCAGCTCAGAGCCCCGGTGCCAGCCTCAGAGCCCCGGTGCCAGCCTCAGAGCCCGGTGCCAGCCTCAGAGCCCCGGTGCCAGCCTCAGAGCCCCGGTGCCAGCCTCAGAGCCCCGGTGCCGGCCTCAGAGCCCCGGTGCCGGCCTCAGAGCCCCGGTGCCGGCCTCAGAGCCCCAGTGCCGGCCTCACCTGAGCGCCGCCAGCAGGCTCTCCTCCGCCGCGTGCGCCGGAGTCGCGACCGAGGCAGGCCGCGCCGGCCAGCTCCGCGGCACCGCCTCCTCCGCCTCCAGGTCGTCGTCGCGCTGCGGGCGCGGCCTGCGCAGGATCGGGCGGGGCGGCTCGCCGGCCGGCCGCCGCCGCTCCACCTCGGCGCTGTCCCGGCGCAGGATGCCGGCCGGCAGCTCGCCGTCTTCCTCCAGCGAGCGGCGCTTGAGGATCGACGGCGGCGGCTCCGGGCTGCTGTCGAGCTCCTCCTCGCGCGAGCGGCTCGGCTTGAGGATCGGCCGCAGCGCGTCGTCCTCCGGCGCGCCGGCCACGTCCTCCACCGAGCGGTTCTTGAGGATGGGCCGCGGCCGCTCCGCCTCCAGCTCGTCGTCGGTGCTCGCGCGCTTCTTCAAAATCGGCCGCGGCTCGGCGTCCTCCGGGCTGCGCTGCTTCTTCTTCAGGATGGGCCGCGGCCCGGCGCGCGCCGCCGCTTCCGGCGAGAAGCCCCGCTCGCCGCGCTCCTCCTGGCTCTGCTTGCGCTGCTTCAGGATCGACGGCGGACGGCCGGCGCCGCTACCACCGCCAAGCGAATTGCTGCGCACAGGCGGCGCCGGCGCGAGCTCCTCGTCCAGCGACGAACCGCTGGCGTCCGCCCGCCGCGGCGGGCTGGGCGACGCCGGCGGCTCCGCAGCCGGCACCGGCGGCGGCCGGGAGCCCACGGCGTCCACGCGTCGCGGCGGGCTGGGCGACGCCGGTGGCTCCGTAGCCGGCGCCGACAGCGGCCGGGACACGTCGGCGGTGTCGGCGCGTCGCGGCGGGCCGGGCGAGGCGGGCCGTTCGGAGCTCGGCGGCGGCGATCCCGCCTCCACCGGCGCCGGCGCCTTCCGAGGCCGCGGCGACGGCGGCGGCTCGGCGCGCCGCGCCTGGCTCTCCAGTGCCTGCTTGAGCGCGGCCACGCCGGCCGGCTTCTGCGACCCCGCGCGCACGATCACCACCTCTTCGATGATCTGCGTTGACGGCGGGCTCTTCGCCGGCGGCGACTGGGCGCCGCTCGGCGCGCGCGCCACGCCGTTGGCGGCGGTCCGCGCGTCCCAGCCGGCCGACGCCGGCGGCGCCGTTCCGTTGCGTTCCCCGTTCCGCTGCGGGGAGCGAGGCGTGTCGCCGTTGCGGAGCGCGCCGTCTGCGAGCGGGATGCTGTGCGGCCGGCCGACAGGCGGCGCTGCGGTCGCCAGGTACGTCTCGCACTGCTGAAGCACGTCCCTGGCCGCGCCCGAGCCGGCGTCTTCGTCACTGGCCGCCGCCTGCTGCGTCGTTGCGGCCTTCTCGACGCCCGCTGTGGCGGCGGTCTCGTCCGACCGCCCGGCGATGCCGCAGGTCGGGGCCGCGCCGGGCTCCACCTGCTCAGCGGGGGGTTCGCCGCTGCTGGAGCGTTCCCGGCCGCTGGAGCGCAGCCCGGCGCGGTGTTCGACGCGGCCGGCGGCGCCGACGCCCGAGCTGGCCGTGTCAGTCGCAGCTGCCGCCGCCCGGTCCTTGGTGTCGGACGGCGCCGCAGCGGCCCGCAACCGCGAATATCCGGCGAGTGATGCCTCCGCCGCCGCCGGCTTCTCCGCCTCCGCTCTGACGCCGTTCCTGGCGACGCCGTCGGGCCGGCGCGCCGGCGCGCCGCTCGCCCCTATCACAGTCTTGTCGCCGGTGGCGGCCGCCGCCTCGAACCGCGACGCCAGGCGGCGCGCCTTGCCCTCGGCGCCGTCCGAGCCGCTGCCGCTGGCCGCGCGCGGGCGCCCCGCCTCCGGCTGCGGCTGCGGCGGGCCCGTCAGCCGGTCGACGCGGTCGGCCGTGGCGCGCGCCAGCGTCGTCAGCTTCTCGATGCGTGCCGAGATGTCGTCCGTGTCGACCTTCTTCGGCACGCGGCTGGAGCGCGCCGGCAGGCCCGTCTTGGGCCGCTCGCGGTCGCCGAGACGCTTGAGCTTGTCATCGAGCGGCAGCCAGTCGCTGGGGCGCTTGGCCGCACTGGTTTCGGAGCGGGTGCCGGGCGCCGCGGCTCCGCCAGCGCCCGGCGCCGGCCCGGTCGTGGCCGTGTCGGAGTCCGGAGGGGCCGGGACGGCACTGTCGCGGGGTCCGCCGAGTTTCGAGGTCTGGTCAGAGTCGGACTTCGCACTACTCTGTCTGGACCTCTGCTCGGCGAGGGTTTTCAAACTGCCGGTTTTGGACGTCTGCACTTCGGTTCTCTGATTGTTCAGTGAGCTCGTCTTCTCATTGTCATTCCTCCAGCTGTGTAGCACTGATGCATATCCGTTCCCATTCCCGACGCCACCAGGCCTGACCGAACGATCCTCATCACTCCTGAGGCTGCCAGCTCGGGCCGTTTGCTGTGTCTCTGGCTTGGCACTGCCCGATCTGGTCACCTTGCTCACCCTCCGTTCTCCAGCTGTCAGCCTGGGCCGGCTGCTGCACCTCCGTCTTCAGACCAGCGAGCCGTCCTCCAGGTCGGCGGGTCCAGCCTCGCGCCGCCCGGTCCCGCCTGCTCCGCCTCGCTGCGCAGGCTGTGGGCCCTGGCCCTGCGCTCGCCGTCCAGCGCCAGCCGGGCGGCCGTCTCCGCCGGCGGCGGCGGGTCGGGTGCTGAGCCGGGCCGCGCGCGGCCGGCGCTCGCCACCGGCCGGCGCAGCACGCCCGTGTCAGGCCACCTCCCGGCGCGCCAGCCGCAGGAAGTCGGGCCGCTCGGCCGGCGCGCCGGCGCCAGCGCCTGCTGCCGCCCTCGGCGCGCCGCTGGATGAAGTTGGTGCCGGCGTCGAGGGTGCGGCGGAGCGTCGGCCGGCCGGCGCGGCCCAGCTCCGGCGTGGGCGCGCGCGGCGGCCGCACGGCGCCGCTCGGCAGCCGGCGCCGCTCGGCAGCCGCCGGCGTCACCCGGCGCAGGCTCGGCGCCGCTTAGCGGCCGGCCGTGCAGCGGCGGCGTCAACTCGCCTGTGGACGGAGGAGCATGTGAGAGGTGGCGGGAGGCAAGAGGCGGTGCTGTGGAACACTGAGTGTGAGATACAGTGAAGCATTAACAGCTGATTGCCTTAGAAGGATGACTTTTCAGATTGTTTGCAAGCAGAAAGACAGACAAAGAGAGAGAGAGAGAGAGAGACAGAGAGGTTGAATAAACAGACATGTCCTGGGTTTGAGTAATGCATAACTACTGTGCAGATGGTTAATGATGAAGTAATTGCAATTTTGTTTGCAAACTGGAAAAAACAATTCACTGGTGACCTGTATATTACAAAGTTATTCAGAAATGGCTGGAACAAAGCTCAATAACATGAAAAATGTTAGAAACATCGCACATGTATCACCACCATTCAGTGAGTAAAAAATGCTTGGTTGCATAAAATACAATACAATCAACTACAAAGAACACAATGAGCTCAAACTGATAAACTCTGCCAATTCAGATTAGAATAAAATAAAAGTGTAATCTTCAGGCCATAATGCTATGCATACCTCCTCCTGCAGTCGAGTCACACTGAATGAGCAGATATGAATGATAACCTAAAACATGGTTACATTTTAGAATTAGTCATTTTGAAGCATCACCACAGATTGAGTAACCAACATGAAAATGATAACTGCATTATTATACAAATATTTTTAGAGTACTTAAAAGAGCATTTAATTCACTTTCTGCCCATTCTGACATATTAGGTCCATCAATGACTGAGCAAGAAAGTGAATATTTTACCTCATGAAAAATATCTGGTAGTCACTTTTGGACATAGCCATCATGTAAACATAGTGAATGGTGCTCATGCCTCTTTGTTTCACACAGACAGCTAGCATTCAGATCTTCACATTTTTATGGAAAACTTGTCATCACACAACAGGAATAAATATGCAAAGCCAAGTGCTTTGAAAGCAGACCGAACAGCAAGTGCAAAGATATGTCTCTAGTATATGTGCTTGATATGCTACTGTTTCCATAAAACATGTTGATTAGAAATATATGCTTATATCTACTTAATTGAATGATAATTAGGCAGCATTGGTATACAAACATGCAGGTTCTTTGAAAAAAATATAATTTCCATAATACAAGAAAACATGGAGTGAGCATTCTATCACATATAAAATTTGTAGTGCATAATTAACAGGCATTCTGATTAATGACAAAAAATGTACTTCCTTGGGTATGCAGTCTCAGTTAAATCTGAACATTGTTGTGAGTTGGCTTAGACAGAAATCAACACAATGTATTATATAGTTAAAACCTGGTTAAGTAGTTGACATCCTGAAAACCATAGACCAAAATGTTACAAAAACAATTTGAACCTTGGCCACAGCTATTTTGTTTCTCCCACCACTAAGAGGTATCTCAATAATAAGCTTGACAGTATTTTGCATTTCGTAATCTTTATTCTCATAAGTGAAAAACCCCAGATAAACTTCACACACGTGGGTAGGCAGTCCAGTGCAGAAGTGAAGGAAATGTTCCTGCACGGTATCCAACTCACCCCGCTCAAACTGCAGCAGCCTCGACTTCACAGACATTGCTGTTTTGGTACAGCCGTCCGTGCGCAGATTGTATCGAATCTGGCCGGAAGTGAGATGAAGAGACAGCTAGCTTGCTAAACCAACAAATTGCTGCATCAATATGATGAGCCTACAGATGCGACGGGCACGGGTAGTGACGCCCGGATGGCAACGGGCGTATCCCGGCATTGGCCTAACCGGTCAGGCAGTTGGCTGGTGCCGAATTCGCCTCTGCATCGTTTGTTTACAAATCCAAATTATCTGGAAGCATTACAATTAGGCACAAAATGAACTGCCAAATGAAGCTTTTTTCTTCAGATAACAACACGAGCCATCCGATTCGAGGGACAAGTGATATCACGACCACACGAATTATTTCGAGCCATATAAATCACATCACTCGAGTCCTTGATCACCAAAAACTATATCAAACTTCGGACGGCTTTTGCAATACGCCTGCTGCCAGGAACCACACTTCTCATGGCTGTTGAACAAGTCCGAGCAAAGCAGCCCGTCTCCAAGGCCTTACACAACACACCACCGCTTCACCACCAAAAATCGAAGCTCGCGCTCCGGCCAGCACACCACCACCGGGCTGCCCATGGGCCGTCACTGGCGGCCGCCGGCTGGCGTCCCACGGCCGCCAGCGGGCGACGAGTCGACCGTGACGCGTGCCGTCGCGGGGTTCTCAAACCGGCGCACCTGGCGCGGCCCCACCTGCCGCGAACGGCCCTCTGAGGCCGTCGCTCGCGTGCAGCGCCCTCCTATCTGATCGGAGCACCGACCGCGTCATGACCGCTGCTTAGGCAGCCCGTGCCGGCGTTAGGTCTTACGGGCTCTGCGGTCCGCCGGTCGCCCACGCGGCTGAAGTTGCACCACACGCTGGGGAGCGCGGTTCGACTTCACCACCTAAGCCCCGCCGAGCTTGAGCGGAGGGCTTGGTGGAGAGAGGTGACCTCGAGCGAGATGTGAGGGAGCCCCGGGGTGGCCTCGCCCGCGTTCCACCACCGGGCACCAATGATGGGAGAACCTGTTGAGCGGCACCCACCCACCCCACCATATATCCAACGGCACCCATCCACCCACCCATCCATCCATCGTCCAACGGCACCCATCCAGGGTCTATGGGCACATGCTGATAGTCACTTCACGACAGTCCTTCTTCTTGGAGGAAGGCCTCAAAGTAAGAGACAGGCCCCAACGTTCCCGCGCCTCTGCTCCGCCGCCCCCATCAGCACCGTCCGACCAGCGGGTACGCCCGGACGTTGGCGTTTGGCAGCCGCAGCCGGTTCGGCCGTGCCTCTGCGGTCACGAGCGGCGAGGACACCACGAGACTCTGCGTACATCGAGAGACGCACAGGACCGTGCTGGGCCCGCGCGCAACTCACACCAGATCGAGGGTGGCCGTTCGCATGCGGATGGTTATGACTGAGGTAGGTATAACGCACGAGTTCTAGCAGGCTTCAGGTTTCCGTTTATAACGCGTTGATTTATGCAGATATGATTCGAACCGTGTAGTGAACAGGTAGGTACGACCTTGTTTGGACACAGTGACCATTCACAGCATGCAATTTGTAACGAATTCAAGCAACACTTTAAATTGCCCCTGCACTACCGCGCCAACGCAACGAAACATGATCATGGCTACTATGTGCGTTGGGACGGGGTCCGCGAGTGGCATGACACCATGACGCATGACACCATACAGGTGTCAGGTAAAGAACTGTCCTTAAATTCGTCCCAACACCCCCGCTTTCTAAGGCATCTCTTCATCAACGACGTCTTTAATGATCGCGTTGGCCCGCTGCCTGTTGACCTGTTGACCCTCGCAGAAGATGGATGACTCACTAGCCTGTAGTCGCCTGCCGATCAGCGACTCTGCGCCCTCAGAGGCGGCGCTGCGCGAGCGGGGCACCTCTGCAGCGATCGTGCACGCGGTCGTCACAGAAGAAAATAAACGCCGCGACACCCGCTCTGCCACAGCAACAAACACGCGTCCGGTCGGCGGCTGCGGCGCCGACGTCTCCGGCGCCGGCAACGGGGGGCGGGGAGAGGGGGAGCGATTGGATCATCGGCCCGCTGCTGGCTCCGGTGACAGACACGCTGCAACGGCCCGGCGCCGAGCCAGAGCCGCGCCGCGACTCCGCGAAACCGGACGTTCCATGCGGCGGCGCGACGCAGTGGCATAACCACAAATGGCGATGGTCGGGTGGCAGCCGTCGATGATTTGTCGGCGCAGGCGAGTGAGGGAGATAGCGTCGACTGTCACGTTACCGCCCGTGACGGCGAAAACAGCAGCGTGATAACATCACGGGGACTTGTCCCGATAGATGGCACCACAGGCGGAAGGCGGGAGGGTAAACCGGCCGTCACAGGACTTGGCTTGAGACACATCGCTTCGAAAAGACGGGCCTTCTGTCTTGCCCTCGACTGTTACGATTAAGGGTTCGGGGTGATTCGGCATCATAAGCCTTTTCTCACGAACACTGACACTGTTACTTAGCGTGACGTCAGAAACCGTGTGAGCCTTAGTGGGACGGTGCGGATATTTTCCACGTGGGTGGTCTGGCCAACACTCCCCCCCTCGAGCTAATGTCTTCGCAAAGCAGATATTAGTGACTGCATAACTTAGCGCAGGTGCATGCAGGATGCGCCCACAAGTGGATAAATTATCCTAAGTTACGTTGAATTTTGTACGTTTCTTGCATGCACGCTGTTTGATCAGGTGCGGTTTTCCTGCAGCATTGCAACATGATTAAACTTTGGCGTCCACTTTCGATTTACACCGGAAAAGTAGGAACACTTCGCAAGCTGGACACACTCTGCGCGGCA